AGAAAAAAGAAATTTTAAATTTTTCACATTTATTCACTTTTATTTGAGGAGAAGGTCATAAGTACTACATCATGTGCGTAGAGGCTATTAGACAACTTGTGGAAGTCTCTTCAGGCTTGCCAACAAGTATCTTTTAGTGGTTGTTGTGCCATCTGTCAGCATGTCTTTATTTGTATTTAACAACAAAAAAACCTCTATAAATAAAGATGTGCATCACAAAAATGAGAGAGCAAAATAATTTTCTAAACAAAATAGAGTTGAAAAAAAAACAATTGTAATTGAATATATCTAGAAACTGCACAGAACAAAGAAACCTTGTATCAAAGACTAATCTAATTAGACAAAAGAAATATGTACAGCATCACACAGTCTTAGGAATGAATGTTTCAAGCACCTGAGAGCTTGCTTCTCAGGATTAATTCTGCCCTCTAGTGCATGCTCAGTGACCACTGCTGTAACTAACCAGAGACTACTCATTCCTAGAGCATCATAATGCACTCTTCAGTACACCAGTTTTATTTTTTGATTAGTTCACCTACATATCTTTTTTTGGTATGTTATTTTTTGAAACAGGGTTTGATAACATCCCTGGCTCCCTAGAACTTGTTATATGGACCAAGCTGGCATCAAACCAGCAGCAACCTGTCTTCTTGCCGAGGCCTCCTAAGTCACCACATTTTTAGAACAGTTTAAGAGTACCTTAAAGAGGGTGGAGAGATGGCTCAGTGGCTAAAAGCACAGGCTACTCTTGCAGGGGACCCAGGTTCAATTTCCAGAACTTTCATGGTGGCTCAAAACTATCTCTAATTCCAGCCCTAAGAGATCTGACATGTTCTTCTGGCTTTCTGTGGAGATCAGACACACACATGGTACAAACACACATGCAGGCGAAATACCCATACACATATAGTACACTTGTAAAAAATTTAAAGAGCTTATTCTAGCAACTACCTAACCCACAAATCCTTGTAGGAATATACCCTAGAGCAATGAAAACACCCAATAACAGGAAAGTTTGTACTTGAATGTCCACAGAAGCATTTACAGTGGCCAAATGTAAAAATCATCCTAAAACTATTAATTAGCACACACATAAACAAAATGTAGTATAGCCTTACAATTATACTATTCCACAAAGGGCATGAATAAGACAAATGCTGCAACACAGATAAACCCTGAAGATATTATGTTGAGTCAAAGAAGCCAGATACATTGGCTGGGGAGGCCCCTCAGTATTTAAGAAGACTTACTGCTCTTCTAAGAGACCCAGGTTCTGTTCCCAGCACCCACATGGCAGCTCATCATCATCTGTAATTCCTGTTCCAAGGAATCTAACACCCTGGCTCCCACAGGCACACACATGGTACAGACATACATACAGGCAAACACTCATATACATAAAATATATAAATAACCTTAAAAAGAAAGACGAAAAAGCAAATATTGAAATTCTACTCTTGAAATGCCCAAAATAAACAAACCTAGACCCAGAAAGTCCATGAGTGGGATTGAGGATGAAGACGGGAAAGTGATTAGCTAACAGATCCAGTCCAGTGTTTCTTTTGTAGGTGACAAGAAAAACAATTGTAGTTGCCCATTACTATGAATATACCCTTGAGTTTGCTAGAAAGCAATGACTGGTATAATTCAAATTGATAAATTATATAGTATCACATTCATCTCATTAAAATATTTTTTGGTTGCTTTTGTTTTGGTTTGGTTTTAGCCACATTTGGTAGCACTCACCTAGAGGTTGAGGATCACAGGCTTGAGGCCATACTAGCTATACAGTAAGACCCTTATTAAAAACAAACAGCCAGTGGTGACTCGTGCATGGGGGAGGCAGAGCTCTGTGAGGAGGCTAGCCTGGTCTACAGAGTTTCAGGACAATCAAGATTGTTATACAGAGAAACCCTGTCTCAAACAAACAAACAAAAGAACACCAACAACAAAAAACTGCACAAAACCAAAAATATTATCCAATTATATACATTATAGAAAATCACTTTTAGATACTGTCAGAAGTCAAGTTCGATGGAACATCTACTTTCCTTTATTTCTAATTAAAATAATTACCAACAAACGTTTACTCATGACATCCTGGACATTTCTACTGGGACCCAGCAGGAGGTCTTACTTCTTTGAACCATTCAAAGGACTTGGCTTTGGTATGTATGCAGCTTTTAACATACATTCAACTGTAGACTTATCACTAGACAAAGAAAATATGAACATATTCAAACAACAAAACAAAAAAAAAGGGCAACTGGAGTCTAATCAAATGCTAGAAACATTTCCCCTCAATACTGTGGCTATGTCTGATATCTGTTAATTTAAGTGAAATGCTCATTAGTCTTTATCAAAAGTTAATGATTATGCTTATTTAAAAACTAAAACAAACTAAATTCATAATTACCAACTTTGAGGACTCTGGGAAAGATCAAGTGTCAACTGTTCAGACAGAAAACTATTCACAAAGATTAGGTTCCTGGGATAAAGATACCAACCACTGACAAAGCATCAGATCAGGGGTTACTGTTGATTCAGAGGCAACGTCTCATGCAGTCCAGGTGGACCACAGGTGTATTCAAGGCTGGTCTTTAACTCCCAGATCCTACTGCCATCACTGCTGGGTAGGATCACAGTCATCATACTGTGATCAACTGGAGTCTTAATTTTCATATGACAAATCCTATCTTCTGTCCTTGGGACAAACACTGCTTGAACTGACACCACTAGGAGGTTGTTTGAGATTCAATGTCCAAAAAAAACAAGAACAGGACAAAACCACATGGGAAAAATATCTTTCAATCTTATATTTATTACTTTCATTTGTTCCCAATCTATACAGCTACAGCTTAAAATAGTAACTCAACAAAAACAATTCTGTTCTTATAGCAAGGATTGTAAATTGTGATGAAACTAATGGAGTAATAAATGTGAGCATAGAAGAGAAAATGGGGGCTGAAGACTGGCTAGCTACCAGCTGGTGGAGCAAGAATTCAGTGTGTGGAGGAAGAGAGATCAAGAGGTCTGGATGATGAAGCCATGGGAATTTAGACACACTAAGTAATCACTGTACTTTCCTCTATCAAATGTAACAGCCTGATTCTGACCTCTAATTAAGAGGGCTTACTCCATCCCCAACACACAAACTCTGGCTTTTTATAGCCAAAGCAGCATGCTATTTTAAACATGTAGAGGAAATGCACTTTCAGTTACAAACATTGGCTTCTCAGCATCTGTCCTTATTTGTTACTCAGAGACGTAGGGCAGGATGTTTTAGTCTTTTGCACTGGTTTCCCAGTATTGCTTAAATCTGTTTAGAGAAAAGGAAAATACACAATTTCTATAAAAAGCAGCTCCCAAAGTGGGGAGAAAAAAAAAAGGCCAGGGAAAATGTTTTACTGTATTATTATTTTTTTTTTATATTTCAGATGACTCCTGCAAATTTCTCCCTTGAAAAGACCTTCCATACTTAAGTATGTGGTATCTGTTGCAAATTCTGTTTTCACTGACAAAAATGTCCAAATCCCAAAGCAGATGACCTCCTCTAACATTCCAAGCAATTATAACTGTAAAACTTTTCTGAGACACAAGTCAGAAAAACAAGCAAATCACCCTTGAAGGCCACATGATTTATCAGAAATTCAAGGCACAATACTGTACCATATGTAATTAAAAGTTCCATATTGGCTGGGCAGTGGTGGCACACCCCTTTAATCCCAGCACTCTGGAGGCAGAGGCAAGTGGATCTCTGTAAGTTCGAGGCCAGCCTGGTCTCCAGAGCTAGTTCCAGGACAGCCAGGGCTGTTATACAGAGAAACCCTGTCACGAAAAACAAAACAAACAAACAAACAAACAAAAAAGCCCCACATTCATGCACTTTCACTTGGATACCTAGAACATATTCTTATACTCTGGTATATCCCATTACAGTTTTCAAATAAATTAATTTTGACAGATTTCATTTTATGCCTTTTGTAAGGGAGTCAGTAGAACATTAATCTACTGAAAAATATTTACCTACACAGTTTGGTAGGAAAACAGGGTGGATTTTTAGTGGGAGAAAAAATGTAAAATGATCCCGTTTGCTAGGCGTCACAGGCAGGCAGATCTTGGTGAGTTTGATACCAGACTGGTCTACAGTTAGCTCCAGTCAAAGCCAGGCCTATATAGTAAGACTCTATCTCAGAAACAAGAAAAAAACAACTTTCCTGTCCAGAGCAAAGGTGGGTATGTTAATGGTGTGACAGGCTTAGGAGCCTAGCCTACCCAGAACTCTCTGCTGCAGGTGTTAGCTGGCTAGTTAGGGATATCCATGTGATGTGGCCTATGATCATTTGCCTAGAGCCTACAGACCTGGATTTCTATTTACTCCTTATATATGCTAAGAAGACAGGAACTTTTGCTTTTAAGAGAAGGAGTTCTAGTCTTCAGCTAAAAATAACTAAGGTGTGGAAAGCACAAAAGGAGTAAACTACCAGTTTCTTTTAATAATTTTTGACTGCTTTCTTTGAGACAGGAGCTCACTCTGATACCTAGGCTGGCCTTGAACTTCTGGGCTCAAGTGATTAACCTACACCTACCTTAGGCTCCCAAGTAGCTGGGAGTAACCTGTACCCACCTGCTGATTTTGCTTATGTTCCTTTGCCATCTGGTGGGGGGGGGGCCATGGGGCACAGACTGGGATGGATGGACTAAGTACTCAATTCAAACGTTCATTAAAAGTTCTGATGAACTGCTGATACTGTCAAGCAAAAACTATTAATTTTTAGGTATACAATTTACATGTTCAGCTTTGTGATTACCTCCTTTCAAGCTGGGATTGTTAAATAAGCAACCTATATTTGGGTAAAAAATTTCCAACAAGGCAGAACAGAAGTTTCATTCCCTAGCTTAGAAAAGGAGTGGTGATAACTGCAGTTGGAAACAGGTCCTCTCACACAGACAAGTTTCCCAGTGTGCCAAGTGCTCCTGGGACTGATGGGAATGCTCACCCGGAACCAGCAGGGACTGCAGCTGTGGAAGTGACAGTGGCCTGAGGCTTTTCTTTCTCATTTTGCTTGAGGAAAGATCTGGCTTCCTTAGATGCAGCATCTACTTCCTTAGTCACCCTATTTCAAGGAAAGACACAATTTTTAAAATTAGTTTTTTATTTAAATTAAAAACAATCTTATTTTACCAATCCCAGTTCCCTTTCCCTCCTGTCCTCCCATTCTTCCCCACCATCCCATTCCCAGAAACAAATTTGTAAGTGGGATAAGAAGCAAAAAATGTGGCAAAAGAAATAAATGAAAACTAGGAACATACTCATCACTGAGTTTTCAATAAATTCTGGCCTCTGAGTCTTATAATGATTAAAATTCACTCCAATAAGTTTACAAATAGATGCTTTCCCAGACTAATACAAACAAATGAAACAACAACATAGCAAATTTTTATGCAAGTCTTGTCCATTACATCTGTCAACATGAAGACTCCAGCAACCACTCCTGAATCTCAGCTCACTTGGTTACTAATACAAAGGCTACAAAGACCCCTGTACTATTCCTCACCTAATAGGTCAATATTAAGACTCAAAGGGCCAGTGAAAGGTGAGATGGAGAAATGGGATACAGGAACAAAAGCACTGCCATCATTTCAAGAAGAAAAGCAAACAACTGCTTTACACCTAAAACCCAAACACAAAACACAATTTCCTAAAACTGGGCAAATCAGAACTCAGGAGCAGCAGAATGTAACACAATCCTACCCAATTTCAAATTTGGAAAAACTGCATTGGCACACACCACTGATCCCAGCACTTGGGAGGCAGAGGCAGGCTATCGTTGAGAGTTCAAGACCAGCCCGGTCTACAAAGCTACACAGAAAAACCCTATCATGAAAAACCAAAAAAAAAAAAAAAAAACCAAAACAAAACAAGACAAAAAAGGATAAAGTAAGAATACTTAAGATACCTCATATCCCACATAAAAAGAGGAGAATATGTAATGCAGGCTCTGACATGCCAAAGCAATAAAAACATTTGAGAAATTTTGTTTAAATTCTAATCTACCAGTAGGCAGTCCAAAATTACAGTCAGTGCATTAAATATTCAAACAAAGATTGGCCAAAAATGATAGAATAAGCCCTATAAATTCCATCTATGAGAATATACAAGTCTCTACCACCTTCCAGGATAAATCTTCTAATGAAGGGCCACTTCATTGCTGCTATGTATATAAATGACACCAAGTGAAGCTTGGAGCTAAGATGAGACAAGCCAAATTCCAGATAACATAGGGATACACCAGAAACACTCCACTGCTTACCACTTGTTGTTTCCAGATAAGGCTGGAGTAGTTTGCTCTACAGCACTAATACAACACCAACAGGAAGATCATTTACATTCCTAAGTATCAACCCTGAAACCTAAGGGGTTAAACTACTTGTCCAACTATCCAGAGACTACACAGCAAGATGGTGTATTCTGCAACAGAGGGTATTTTCTAAACTGAATGTCACTCATTTCTGCCCCACATGATCTTCCAGAACCTTAAGAAAACCCCTTGAAATCAAATGGGGGGGTTTATGGCTGTCTTACCAAAGGGAGTTCTGTGCAAGGGGCTCTAATAGGCCTTCTAAGGCCTTTCTCTCTTGAGAATATATCTTTAGAACTCCTAGCCTAAAACTACTCTGTAGCAGAGATCACATGGAAAGACACAGATGTCTTCCTAGCCCCAAGATAACTGAATTCTTAAGCATCAGAACTAGAAGAAAACAATCTTTAAGATGGTCCCAGCTGGGCGTTGGTGGTGCATGCCTTTAGTCCCAGTGCTTGGGAGGCAGAGGCAGGCAGATCTCTGTGAATTGGAGGCCTGCCTGGTTTACAGAGCTAGTTCCAGGACAGGTCCCAAAACAGTACAGAGAAACCCTGTCTCTAAAAACAAAAACAAAAAAGATGGTCCCAATCACTGTCTGATTACAAGTGCACAAGAGAGCCTGAGCAACTGGGGCCTCTGGAGCTGTGAGAAATTATAACAGAACAGTTAGCTGTTTCATGCAAGCCAATAAATTTTAGGGTGATTTGTCCTACTGCTTAGTCAATACCCAAACTAAACCTGCATCAAAATATTGGGCTTAATGCAGATCCCAAAATACTGGTTTCAAAATAGTTTCCTGTCTTGAGTAAATCTACATTAAGATTAATGTGATTAATGAAGAATTAACTCATGCTTTATTGTCTACTTCCTACCAAAGTCTACTAAAAGTGCAAATAAATGTAACTAAAATTATACAACATTAGCAGAAGTACAACAGAAAACTGTATTAATCAAACTTTCAGAAAGTAAACAAGCTGGGCATAGTATACATGCCTGTAATATCTTCACACTAGGACACTGGAGAAGGAGATCAGGAGTTCAAAGTCATCCTCAGCTACAAGAGATTCCAACTCAAAAAAAGGAGCAAATATCTAAGTTGTAACTGGTTTTAGTTTTCTCTGAACTAAGTTTTTAGCCATGTGGAATGGATGTCAAGAAAGCCACTCTGTATTACGAAACCCTAGAAAGGCTTGTTAAATTGAACTAGCTGAAACCTTCAGAGGTGGAAGAGAGGCACTGGCTGCCACAACCAGCAGAAAGCTTGCATTAGGAACAATTAGCCTTTCTGACCCCAAAACTCAGGCTATGTCCCTACCACTGCTAACACAGAGGGATCCACAACACTTAGAGAAAATAAAAACCACAGGATAGGCTTGAAGAATGATGCCCCATCCTGAAATTAGAGGAATTAAATGAAAAGCCACCCTTAAAGGCTATATATTCCAGAGGGCCGTGTGACAGAGCGAAGTGCTAACGAACCCATCATGTTTTTAGTACTATACTACTAAGAAACAGACATGTTTAGTATGCTGTGCTACTGAAGCACAGCTTGCTGCCCAATCATAGTAGAGATTCATCAGAATTTAGACAATACACATTTCAGGAAAAAAAAAAAAAACAATAAAAGAATGCCTAGAATTGAAGGATGAGTTTCACCAAAGAGCCACAGAACATTTGACTGACACAGCAAACTTTAAAGGATTAATATCTAAGCTGAAGTTTTCGAATATGAAGAGCAAGTGGCCCAAGTAACAAGGAGACAAAAGCAGCATCACGTAACTTATGTTAGTTTTGTTGTTCTTGTTTTACTACAGGACTGAAAAGACTCTAGTACATACTTAAGTAAATATTTTCTGGAAAATATCACAAATGTTGATACTGTTAAACATTAGACATATAAAGAAATATAATATGGATTCTGCCATAAAAACTCAACAGTCCAGCAAGACAGCCAACTACAAAAGCGAAATGACAACCCATGCTATACAGCAAGTATCACAGAGTAGGTGTGGAGACAATATAAACCTTGGCAATGTCCTTCTTAATTTCTTGTGTCAAAGTCTATGCATACCCACCAGAAAACATGTTAAGCAAACAGGGTATTTCTAAGGAACCTGACAGCTGACACAAAGTAACAGCAGATGTCTCTCTGATGAAAGCATCCCTAAACAATGCCACTCTTCCTACCATTTTGTCTTACAAGACAGGGTCTCCATGCACAGTACAAGCTGGCTCTCTCCTTGTGCTCAGCCTCCCAAGGTGCCATAAAGTAACTTCACTGTGAAGAAGCTGTCATACTACTTTTAAGTAGGAGAATGATTAACTTACAACCCTCTCATACATGAGAGGGACTCCTGATAGGAAAAAGCCTATTATTGGCAATAATTAATTCATTTGTTTTTAGCAGAAATTCCATTTTAACTTCATTTTCACTCACTCAACTTCCTGAAAAGTCTTTATTTGGACAGAACTTTTCCATGACTGGGCTTTTCCAAAAGGTGAATCATTTAGGAAAGTCTGAGCTCACAGGGTCAGCCTGTTATACCATAGAGGCGAGTAAGAATGATTATTTTCCTCCCTTCCCTAAGACTTTAAAAATTTACATAGTTTTCACGGAGGAAAACAAACAAAACAGCCAAATCCAAAATTTTACCATTACAAGTTAGAGAAACTAAAAGACTAACTTCATGCTAGTTCTTATTCTTAATACTTATTCTTTTCATTAGCTCTTTCACACCTCTCTCTGCAGCCCCTCCCCCAAACCCTGTAGCCCTGGCTGTCCAGAAATTCACTCTGTAGACCAGATTGGCCTTGATCTCACAGAGATCCTCCTGCCCCTACCTCCTGAATGCTGGGATTAAAAGCATGCACCACCAGTGCCTGGCTATTCTTTTACATTTTTTAAAGATGCAGTGATACAAAGACAAAAAGGAAAAACAAAATAATGATGTCAAGAGATTAAAAGATGTGCTCAAGCTGGGAGGTGGTGGTGAACACTTTTGATGCTTGCACTGGAGAGGCAGAGGCAGGTAGATCTCTGTGAGATTGAGTGTAGCCTCATCTACAAAGCAACTTCCAGGACGGGCTCCATAGTTCAGAAAAGCCCTGTCTTGAAAAATCAAATCAAAACAAAACAACAACAAAAAAGCAAAGCAAAAGGCTGTGCTCAAACCCAAATACCAAGTTTGTCTGGGTTGTCAGTTAAAGTTCAAATAGCCTAAGGTCCTTCAAGAAAGTTCCTTATAGTATCTTAAATATTATGTTTTTTAAAAAAAAAAAGTCTTATCAATAGTCTGGTGGTGGTACATGCTTGAATCCTAGCACTAGAGAGGCAGAGGCAGGCAGATCTCTGAGTTTGAGACCAGCCTATTCTACAAAGTGAGTTTTAGGGCAGTCAGGGCTACAAAGAGAAACTGTCTTGAAAAAACAAAAACAAAAACAAAGTCTTGCCAACATAGCAACTATTAACAGGTTTAAATAAATGTTATATAAGTATATATAATGTATACTATAATGTGTAAACATCATTTATACACACACACACACACACACACACACACACACACACACACACACACAACCACATATACATATCCCAGGTTGGCCTTGATCCTCATGCTTCTACTTCCCAAGTGCGAGGATTACAGGAGTGCACCACGCCACAGCAGGCTTCAACAAGCTTTCCTATTCTTTATGGGGAAGGAGTTTGAGGACACTCACTTGCTCTGTTATATTTCTATAATTAACATATAATTAAAAAAATAACATGTAGTACTGTGAAGTATAAATAAGTAATGAAAGGTGCTCTTTTCCTGTTTTATTTTTGACAAGAGACATGGTGCTGCCCTCTTCTGACAAATGGTACAAATGGCAGGTTCTCTGAGTACTCACCACTATTTACAGCTGCCATCTATTTGCTTCCTTTGGAAAGAGAGGGGTGAGAGCACATGTGTTGGATCCCAGCACTCAGGATGCAGAGAGACCTTGGGAGCTTTGTGATTTCGAGGCCAGCCTGGTCTACACCTGGTCTACAGATCGAGTTCCAGGACAGCCTATCTCAAAAAGCAAACAAACAGAGCAGAGTAGTGGCATATGACTGTACTCCCACCACTTGGGAAGCAACAGGCAGGACAATCAGGAGTTCATTAGACCCTATCTCAAAAAAGAAAAGGAAAAAAATATGGCATACTAAATAAAGTTTATAAACAAACTTATGAAATTCATAATTTGATGAGAAATTTACTGATTTCTCAAAGCAGTGGCTATTCAGCTGATTTTATTTTCCAAGCAGACCTTCCTGAAGATAGTCTACATTATATGTGGGAAGTGATCCCAGCCAACACAGGCTTTGAGACACACTCTTACCATGTTGTCCTAGCTGAAACTTGCTCTGTAGACCTGGCTGGCTTCAACTCCACCTCTAAATGTTTGGTTTGTTTTTTAACGTGTATTTTCTATGGTATGTTAATACCCTTTCTTAACTTTTTATTGTTTGAGAATTTCAAGCAATCATATAATGTGTTTTGACTCAAGTTAACCCCCATCCCATCTCTTCTAATTCCTTCCTCACTCTCCAACCACTATCTAGTACCAACTTCCTGTGTTTATTTTTCTTTCTTTTGTTTTTTAAAACCACTTAGTCTACTTAATGCTGCTAGTATGTGCTTGGGTGCAGGGAATACTGGAACATGGATAGTCTCTCAGAAGCCACATCCTTAAAGAAAACTGACCCTGCCTCTCTCAGCAGCCATCAACTGCCAACAGCTTTTTAGCTAGGAGGTCCAACATTGTGACTCTCCCCCAAAAGCTGGGATTGTGTCTGGATTATTTTATGCAGGTTGTGTGCACACTGTCACAAATGCTGTGAGTTCTCATGTGCAAATGCCCTTCCTGTGTCCAAAAGTTTCATTTCTACATTATTTTTACAGGTTTCTAAATGTTGATGGCTTATTGTCAATGTTGTCACTCCCTATTGGATAAGTGCAGTATGATTTCTGGAGGCAAAATACATTACTAATTTACACCATCAGTAATTATGTGACCGACCCCAAAGTGACTAATTAACCAAGGGTGTCTTAGAGTGGAGAGTTCTGACAGATGTTGCCCATGTCCTTTAACTCATCATTGATACTGGGTTTCTCAAGGACAGCTAGCACTGCCAGGGCAGTATTTTTGTCTAAGGCAGCAGTTCTCAACCTGTGGGTCATGACCCCTTTGGGAGTTAAATGACCCTTTCACAGGGGTCACCTAAGACCATCAGAAAAGATACTTACATTATGATTCATAACAAGAAAAATTATAGTTATGAAGTAGCAACAAAAATAATTTTATGGTTGGAGGTCACTACAACATGGGGAATTGTATTAAAGAGTGATGGCATTAGGAAGGTTGAGGACCACTAATCTAAGGTGATTAACTGGAAACTAAATATACAAGGAAAATCAATAATCTAAATTGAAGTGTCTTCTCCAATACAAATAGTCTGAACTTTTTTTTTTCTTCCTCAAGACACAGAGTCTCTGTGTAGCCTTGGCTGTCCTGGAACTCAATCTGTAGACCAGGCTAGCTGCAAACTCACAAAGATCCACCTGTCTCTACCTCTCAAGTGCTAGGATTAAAAGCATAAACTACCAACACCTGGCTTATGTCTGGGCTCTTAAAAAGACCAAGCCCACTATTTAATCTTGACTGTATAAGAACAACTAGAAAGTATCAATGGAATAACTGGGGCCTAAAAGCCCCATACATAGATCTAATCAAAATATAGGCAGCAAAACTACCTGTTATTAGTGAAGAATGAGAAAATGTTAAAAATCAAGTCACCTGTTATTAGCCTAAGTCAAGACATACAGTAACTATGAACATGGAGATACCCGCTGAACATATTATAGTATTCATACTTAGTCATTAGCATCATTGCACTATAAAGAACAAAGATCAGTTAGAATTGAATGGAGTCACTTGTATCACATCTGCCACGCCTGGCAAACTGAGTTCAATCCCCAGGACCCCAGGAAAGAGAGCTGAGTGTGATATGAGTGCCCACACCCACACATAAAGATAGACAAAACTGAACAGCGGTGAGTCTGAGTGTGGACTACGTGGACAGCGGTGAGTCTGAGTGTGGACTATGTGGGTGTTCACTCCAATGCTATTCTTGCAGCACTGCCCTGAGTACATTTCTCACACACACACAAAAGGATTAAGAAAAATTTTAATTGAGTGGGTTTGGTACTGGAGAGATGGTTCAGAAGATAAAAATAAAAGCACTTATTGCTCTTCCAGAGGACCTGAGCTCTATTCCTAGAACCCACATGGTAGCTCACAACCATCTGTAACTCCAGTACTTACATCTTCAAGGACCAGGTATGTACAAAGTATAAAGACATACACAAAGGCAAAAGGCCCACACACATAAAATAATTAAAAATAAATAAGTTTTGCTTTCCACAGCAGCTCATGCATATAATCTCAGCACTCAGGAGGCTGAGGCAGATAGAATATTGTTACTTCAACCACGATGGACTACATAGTGACTTCCAGGACAGTCTGGGCTAGAATGAGACCTAGTCTAAAGAAATTTTTAAAAGTTGTGCTCTGGGGCTGGAGAGATGGCTCAGCAGTTAAGAGCACTAGCTGCTCTTCTACAGGACCCAGGTTTAATTTCCAGCATCCACAAAGCATAGCTCACAACTGTAACTCCAGTTCCAGGGGATCTGACACACTTACACCAATGCACATAAAATAAAGTTAAATAAACTATTTAAAAAGTTGTGCTCTGCACTATTTGTAAAACTGAAAATACAGCCTGGTAGTGGTGGTGGTATACACCTTTAATCCCAGCACCAAGGAGACAGAGGCAGGCAGATCTCTGTGAGATTGAGGTCAGCCTGGTCTACAGAGTGAGTGCCAGGACAGCCAGGGTTACACAGAGAAACCCTGTCTCGAAATACCAGCCCTCCCCCCCACAAAAAAAAGAAAACCATTTAGGGGGGAAAAAAAATCCATCTGTAAAGAACATGCACACATATTGTTCTTGCCACTAGTCCCTACACACTGTGTTATTTTCATGGCATTTACATTTTATCAAGTATTACAAATCAGATAATGTATAAAATAGGTTGTACATAGGTACACTATGTAGTTTAATGTATGAGATTTAATCTGAGGAACCAATGGGTGGTAGTGGAGCACACCTTTAATCCTAGCACTCAGGAGGCAGAGGCAGGTGGATCTCTGTGAGGTCAGCCTGAAAACAGAGTGAGTTCCAGGAAAGCCAGGACAACAGAGAGAAACCCTGTCTTGAAAAACCATAAAAAAACAAAAACAAAATGTTTCCTTGTAAAAGCATTTAAGTTTCAAACCCATGAAAATCCTCCTACCTTACTTCTTCGCCAGCAAAGTCAAACACCTTGGTAATTTTCACTTTTTCTGATTCTTTAGGCTTCTCCAGCTCATCTGCTTTGACCAACAATTTATTTGAACTAGTCTCTTCATTCTCCTCTACTGCCTAAAAAAAAAAAGGGGGGGAGGGAATGGAATCAGGCCTATAATGACACATACCTTTAAGTCCAGCACTCAGGAAGCAGAGATTTGAGGATCTTTGCTAATTTGAAGCCAGCTTGGTTTACATAGTGAGTTCCAGGACAGCTAGAGCTACATAGTGAGACCCTGTCTCAAATATAAATAAGTAAATCAGTTTTCCAAGGTAGAAGACTAAAAGAACTGCCTGAACATGCTGTTTAGAGTTGTTCTTCCATGTTTCATTTCCAATCAGTCACTGACTGCTCTTCCAGAAAACCCAGGTTAGATTATCAGAACCCACACGGTGGCTCACAACCACCTCTAACTCCAGTTCTAAAAAAATCTGATGCCCTCTTCTGGCAACCATAGGCGCTACATGCATGTGGTATATAGACATACATGCAAGTACATCACCTATACACACAAAAATAAAATAAAATAGGCTTACTGGAGAGGCTGGAAAGATGACTCAGCAGTTAAAGAGTTTTTGCAGAGGCAAGGTGTGGTGGCTCATGCCTTTAATCCCAGCACTCTGGAGGCAGAAATAAGCCAATCTTTATGAGTTAAAGGACAGCCTGGTCTATAGAGTGAGTTCATGAACAGCAGCCAGGGACACACAGTGAAACCCTGTCTGGGAAAACCAAAAAGAAAAAGAATTTCTGCAGAGGACCTAAGCTCAGTTCCTAGCACGCAAGTCAAGCAGCTTATAACTGCCTGTAACTCCAGCTCCAGGGTGATCTAATGCTTTTGGCAAATGTGTGCACATACCTACACATAGGCATGAATATATAATTAAAAATAACAACAAATAAATCTTTTTAAATTTTTCTTTGTATTTAAGTATATGCATATGTATAAGCCACATGTATACAGGTGCCTATGGAGGCCAAAAGAGGGCACTAAATCCGATGGCGCTGGTTACAGGCATTTGTCAACCACCCAATATGAGGGTTGAGAATTGAACTCAGATCTTCTGGAAGAGCATCACGTGCGCTTAATCACCGAGTCATCTCTCTAGCCCCAAAAAATAAATCTATAAAAAGTTTATAAAGGTCTGCTGGAAGTGTTATCTGATTAAAACAGCTTCCTCCTCCCCCATCCCACCTTAAGGAATGCTTTGGTTCTCACTTAGTAAAGTCACTATCAAAAGGCATCTAGTTTGCTTTTTGCTTTGAGAGTCAAATCTCAGTCACTTTGTAAATTAAAAAAAAAAAAAAAAAACAGGAAGCTACTGGGGAACTGAGGGTGTTTTTGGAGAGATACGTATACTGCCAATCTCGAAACTTACCTTAACTTGTGAACTTGGAGCTGCTTTTGACTTTGATCCCACATCATTAAGGAAGCTGGCCCACAGTTCATCTTCCTTCTTCTTCCTTGCATTCTCAGACCCAAGGCCTCCTTCTTGCTCCTCTTTATCTTCTTCACTATTACTACCTACAGATTCTTCCTTGCCATCCTCCTCTTCATCTTCTAACAAGAGGCCACTTTGTTTTCTCTTTCTAATCACCAACAGCCACCCAGAGAAAGAGAAGACAGATGCAAAATTATTCATTCCCTTCCCTCAATCCTTAGATCACCTTACCCACTTGAAAGTTTAAATCAGTGATTACTAATAACACAATAGGAGAAACAGAGTAGGTAAACTGAGATTTAATGGTTTAAAAATATTCACTTAAGTAATGTGTATGTGTGTGATCCTGAGTACACGTATGTGTATCATATGCACACAAGAAAGAGCCTGTGGAGGTCAAAAGAGGGTGTTAAATCCCCTGGAACTAAGGTTAAAGGCAGTTGCAAGCCTCTTTGTAGATGCTGAACCCAGGTCCTCTGCTAGAGCAATAACTGCTCCTCACCTCTGAGGCAACTCTCTAGCCCTGACTTAATTTTTTGATTGTTTCTTTGTCCAAACAGGGTTTTTTCTGTGCAGCCCTGGCTGTCCTGGAACTCCATCTGTAAACTAGGCTGCCCTCAATCTCACAGAGATCCACCTGCTTCTGGAGTGCTGGGATTAAAGGCGTGTGACACCAAGTCATGAATAATTTTTTTAAATGTGTTCATCAACAAAATTTAGAATTATACCATACGGTAAAAAATATATACAAGTTTCTCATTGTTTTCAAATTCTTGGCATGTTACTCTTTGAGATTCAGGAATAATAAATCAGTATCCCAATAGTCTCAGGGTTTTAAAATTATATTTTAAATATATTTCTATAATCTTTACAGTCTACAATATGAATAGCTGAAATTCTTATTTAAAGAATAAAACACATGGAGTTTAGTAGTATTTACAAAGTTTAACAGCATCCTGCAGGAATATTTAATAAAATTTAAAATTCAGGCCTCCCAGTAACACGGAATCACTTGGGATGCTGCCCTCCTAAGGACTTATCTGCACTACAAATGTGTTGTACCTTGACAGTAATAGAAGGAGTGACATGACGTATACTGTATACACTGTGTGAGTGAACTCTTTAGTGAGTATTGTCTTTTTATAACTCCCCTCCCTCTATTTAATAAAGGGAGGCATTGAGCTCACTTGAAACTTACAGTTAGTAAATTTAGTATGTCAAGACCATTATTTTCCCTAAGAAAACCCCTCAGGCAGGCATAGTGGTGCACACCTCCAATCTGAGCACTCAAGGAAGCAGAGGCTTGAATATTTCTATGAGTTGGAGGCCAGGTTGGTCTACATAGTGAATTTCAGACCAGCCAAGCTACATAGTGAGAGCCTTTCTCAAAAACAAAACAAAACAAACAGGAAGACCAAAACAAAACAAACAAAAAACCAAACCCAAATAAATAAAAAACCTAACAACTAAAAACTAAAAACAAATAAAAAGAAGAAAATTACTAACAGCACCTCATGAGATTAATCTGTTCTGAAAACAGGTTCTAAAACATGTGCTAAATATTTTTTGCCTTCTAAAAGCCTCTCCATTTAGAGAACAAGGGCTACTGACTCTCAACTTTGTATCATTTTCTTCCAAACACTCTAAAAAATATAACAGCTTCATGCTACATTCAACAGAAGTTTGAATACAGAAAAAGAGAACTGGGCCCAAGACTTTACAAAGTACATATTTATACTTTGAGGTCATCATATAGTACTTAATGTTCATTTCTCCCCTGCTCATCCTCCAAGACAGGGTTTCTTCTGTAGCTTTGGAGCCTGTCCTGGAACAGAGATCTACCTGCCTCTGCCTCTAAAGTATTGGGAGGAAAGGCATACACCACCACTGTCCGGCCATTTTTTTCTTTTTTCCATAAACTGCAATCTGTTTTTTGCTTCAATGCCCAAGACAGAAACAACAGTGACAGAGTACTGCCTTTATCTGAGTTATTTTCCTAATTTAGGATGAGACTGTAATTCAGAGCCTGTGGAAAAAATCATTGAAAGGACAAGGTATGTCTAGGACTGCCATGGTATCCTTTGATATAGTAAACTCATTGAGAACTGTGTACAACGGTGTCTCACTGGAATTACACTCCTGTTCAAAAGACTGAGACAAGAGGCTCAAGAACAGGCCAGCTAACTCAGCGGTGGTGGTTTCAGGAGAGGCAGGTTTGTGTCACAGAGAAACCCTGTCTCAAAAAAAAGAATGGCCCAGACTGGGCAACATAGTGATACCTGTCCAAGAGAGTGAGAGGGAGTGTGGTAATGCAGTATGCTACCTTTTTTTATAATTATGTTTAAATAAAGAGAGCAGGAAATACCCATACCAAGTGTGATGGTATCTAAGGTAACAGCTTTTCAGGGTAAGAACAGAGGATCATGTACCAACAGGGTTGTTTTAACCCAATGCACATTTTACCTAGGTGTTTTTAAAATTAAGGCCTAAATTTTTTTTTAAGATTTATTTATTATATATACAGTGTTCTGCCTGCCATGTATACCTGCAGACCAGAAGAGGGCACCAGATCTCACTACAGATAGCTGTGAGCCATCATGTGATTGCTGAGAATGGAACTTAGGACATCTGGAAGACCAGCTAATGTTCTTAACCACTGAGCCACCTTTGCAGCCCCCCCTAAAAAAATTGTTGAAGGCTCAGATTTTTTTTTTTTTTAACAATTTTGTTTATTTTTATTTTAAATGCATTGGGTTCTGCCTGATGTGATTGTGTCACATCCCTTGGAACTGGAGTTATAGATAGCTGCGAGCTGCCACGTGGATACTAGCAATTGAATTCCAGTCCTCTGTTAGAGCAGCCAGCACTCTTAACTGCCAAACCATTTTGTTTTTGTTTTTGCTTACCTATGTAGCACTGACTATCCTGGAACTTGCTTTGTAGACCAGGCTGGCCTAGAATTCACAGAGATATACCACTCTCTACTTCACCACCAATGCCCAGATGAAGGCCAAGACTTTAATTTTAGAGTATCAGTAATTATTTCCCTCATAAAGAATGGTGCTAAAAACCCTGGCAATAGCTAGGTAGTGGTGGTACACACCTTTAACCTCAGCATTTGGGAGTCAGAGGCAAGAGGACCTCTGTGAGTTTGAAGCTACCTTGGTCTGCAAAGCAAGTTCCAGAACAGTCAGAACTGTTACACAGTCTCAAAAAACTGAAACCCTGTCTCAAAAAACAAAACAAAACCCTGCAATAAGGAAGCTGAAGGCTAACCTAGCCTACACAATGAGTTCCAAGGCAACACACACACACACACACACACACACAGTGAAAAGAAAGACAGACACACATCTGTCATTAGAGCAATCTCAGCAATGAAGCTAGCTCTTATTATAAGGGCCTTGAGGGCAGCATCACCTGGCTGGAATGTTCTGAGCCTTCCTTCTTTTCCCTTTGGTTTTCTCAGCCTGCTCTTCACCATCCACTTCATCTTCCTTCACTAATTCATTGACATCATCTTCACTGTACTCTCCACCTGAAATCATATAACAGGGTGGTCAGATGGTTGGAATGAAGATTTTTCACAAAACATTAATAGTAAAGTCTGAGCTAGGCATGGCTGTGCACACTGCATGCTCAGCACTTGGGAGGTGGAGGCAAGAGAAGTTAAAACTTTTTTTCGGTTATACAGTGAGGTTGAAGCCAGCCTGAGCTACATGAGACCTTGTCTCAAAAACAAAAACAAATAAACAAAACCCCTAAAACAACAGCAACAATAACACAACAAAAAACTTCAGCCCTCTTTTAAGATAAATATATCTGAGCCAGGAGCAGTGGTGCATGCCTTTAATCCCAGCACTCTAGAGGCAGACAGAGGCAGGTGGATCTGAGTTCCAAGTCACTGGTCTATAAAGCGAATTCTAGGTGGAAGGGACAGGAAAAGACAGAAAAGGAACTGGTTTATTGAATGATGCAGAATCAATGTTACTACAGTAGCAGTAAATATCACTGAAATTCAAGTGATGTTTTTTATATAATTTACAATATAAAGAGTTTCCTGGTGGAGGGAAAAAAAAATCATTTCAGGCAAGTAAAACAAAAAGTGGAATCAGGACACCCAGCTGTACTATAAAGTCAGAACATTAGTTAATATGTCATATTAAGAGTAGGATGATGCACTTGAATTGCAGCCAGCCCAACCTACATAGCATGTAGGCCAGTCAGGGCTTTGTAGTGAGACTCTGCTTCGAAACAAAACAAGAAGGCCGGGAGGTGGTGGCGCATGCCTTTAAGCCCAGCACTCAGGAGGCAGAGGCAGGCAGATCTCTGAGTTTGAGGCCACCCTGGTCTACAGAGTAAGTTCCAGGACAGCCACGGCTACACAGAGAAACCCTGTCTCTAAAAAACAAAACAAAACAAAAAGACCCCAGCCAAGAACAGGTCATATTAAATGGGCTGAGCTGGGTCTATAGCTCAGTGTTAAAGCCCATTAAAAAAAAAAAAAAAAAAAAAAAAAAAAAAAAAAGCAGCAGGAAAGGACCTATAGACAGCAAAACTCAGAAGCAACAGATTTTGCTCAAAGATCCAGTACTTCCGAAGCATGGTAACAATACCTATGACTCCTGCATATATATGAAGGTGGGGTTCAAGGAGCCAGACTGGACTTTCATCCTGGCTGAATATCTGATATAAAAACAATACAAGGAGCTGGGCGTGGTGGGGCAAGCCTTTAATCACAGCACTTGGGAGGCAGAGGCAAGCAGATCTCTTGTCTATACAGAAGTTGCTCCAGGACAGCTCCAAAGCTACACAGAGAAACCCTGTCTCCAAAATCAAAACAAAACAAAAAAGGCTTTTTAAAAGTTATGTGTAAACAATAGGTATATGTGCATACGTGAGTGTAGGTTCATGGAGAGTACAGAGCTGGACTTATGGATGTGGTTTTTTTTAGTTGCCCAATGGGGATGCTGGGAACCAGGGGAGGCTTATTCAGTTTTGACAGACATTTATTTTGATTCACTTTGGAAGCTGTCTTAGCTAGAATTTTCATTGCTGTGACAAAACACCATGACCAACTACACAGAGAAACCCTGTCTTTAAAAACCAAAAACCAGGACCAAAAGCAACTTGATGAGGAAAGGTTTATTTCAGCTTACAGCCCACAGTTCATCATGGAGAAAGTCAGGGCAGGAATCTAGAGACAAAGACTGATGCAGAGGCCACGGAAAAGCAGTTTTTACTGACTTGCTCCCTACAGCTTACTCAACCTGCTTTCTTATAGCACCCAGGACCACCAGCCTGGGGTAGCATTACCCACATCAACCATCAACCATGAAAACAAACCACAGGCTTGCCAACAGGCCAATCTGGTGGGGACATTTTCTAATTGAGGTTCCCACTTCCCAAAGACTAGCTTGTGTCACTCTGATATAAAACCAGCCAGCAAAGACACACTGATAAAATGGGACTAAGGGGCTGAAGAGATGGTTCGGCGGTTAAGAGCACTGGCTGCTCTTCCAGAGGTCCTGAGTTCAATTCCCATGGTGGCTCACAACTATCTGTAATGAGATCTTATGGCTTGCAAGCATACAGACAGAACACTGCATACATAATACATCTTTAAAAAAAGAGAAAGAAATGGGAGTAAGAGTGCTGTCATTCACAGAGAAAAAAATGAATGTTTTGGAATATTCAAAGATGATAACTGAATGCAGTAGAAACAAAAAGTCCCACAACAATAAAAATACGTTTCTAGCTACACATTTTTGTTTTGTTTGCCTTCTTTCAAACAGTTTTTCTGTTTTGGGTTTTTGTTTTGTTTTGAAACAGTCATGTGTACCCCAGGCTGGCCTCAAATTCATAGTGCAGCTGAGACTGCCTTGAACTTCTGATCTTCCCACCTCTACCTCCCAGATGGTAAGATTAAGAAGTATGCTACTGGCTGCTCTTCCAGAGGACCTGAGTTCAATTCCCAGTACCCACATGGCAGCTCACAATTGTCTCTAACACAGTTCCAGGGGATCTGACACCCTCACATCAACACACATAAAATAAAATTAAATACATTAAAAAAAAAAAAAAGGGAGGAAAGTATGTTACCATACTTGGGTGTCAAACAGCACCACCCCAACTTCTGCACAATAGACTCTTCTCAAGAAGTCAATAGATCTTGCCAGACTTAACACTGGATGTAAGATTTTTATTCCATGATTTGATGCAGGCAAGGAAGAGTCCTCAGGCTCTCTCCCATGCCACCTTCCTACTTCTACTGTCCATGGATTACCTCTCAACTCCTCCTTCTACAAAGAATGGTGTTCAGAGGAGCACAGCCTATAGAAATTCTTCATATCGCTCCTCTGTGGCCATCTCTGGCAAGTGTTCTTTCGCCACACATTTTTCATCTTGTTGCTGGGCTACACATTGCTATGGGGGAGGCTGACATAAAACTCCACGTTCCCCAGGCTCACATGAAATAGGATGAAAAGACTGAAAGGAGCTTTGGAGCACATGCTGCTGGCCTCTGCATCTGCTACACAGGGAGACTGCCTATGTCCACATCCCACTCAGTTAGCTCAACTTTTTTTTTTCTTTAATGAGAGTGTCTCACTATGTACCCTCCGCTAGTATGGAACTCACTAGCATCAGATTCATCTCTGAACCTGTTTGTCTGCCTGTTCCTGCCTCCCAGAAGCATGTGTTACCACAGCCAGCACTCAGCTACTAGCCAGACTGGTGACTTTCAACTATTTGCTTATGCTTTCTGATCCTCAGCCTTTTCATCTGTAAAATGGACAGTACAAAAGCACAGGTCTTGAATCACTATGTGACTGGGTGAGTTGTGAGTTATCATTAAAGTATCTTAAAGGTACGTGCACACAAAAGGCATTCTCAAACTGGGGATAGTTAACCTCTGTAAATAGTGAAACACTGATGTTGGTCCTTTCAGCTTCCTTAAAAACTGAAGAACCAAGAGCTAGAAAAGAATGAGCCTTCTCGTCATTTCTACTCAACACCACACTGGAAGAATCAATGCAATGTCAAACAAAAGAAATACAAAAGTATCAGAAAAAGACTAAAGCTTCTTATTCAGCCTTGACATAATTAATTATCTACCTAAAAAATACCAAGGAATCTACAAAGCCTCCATAACTAATATATGGGCCTCATAAGTTCAAATAAATCAAGATTATCATGCCAAAACCCTAAGTATTATATTCTCATGTTCTAGCAATATAAACAACTTCAAAATAAAAGACCTACAGAGATGACACCGTGTTCACAGACTGGTAGAGAAGACTGTTAATTTTTCAACATTCAGTGCAATTCCAAACAAAATCCAGGCATAGCATCTGTGCAGAGACTGAAGCCACATGAGAGAACCTGTCTGGGTGGGGGCAAACAGAAGGGGGACATAGTAACTACCTCAGTGCAGAAAGTCTAATACAGCTTCAACAGAACAATGAAGATTCCAGAAAAACAAAACAGAAAACAGTTCCAGGGAAAAGTTTCTAGAAGGCTCATTGCTACAAAGTGCATGATGATGAGGATGTCAACCGAGCATCAGGAAAATGGCAGCAAAGAGAAAAGTCCTTCTGAGACAAACAGATCCTACCTGCACAGTGAGCAGAAAATCAAACACTTTTTATCCTCTGCAGCACTGGGGAGCAAACCCAAGATACTGTTCAAGCCAGACAAGCCCTCTCCCTATCTCTGAGCTGCATCTCCAGCCCAGACAGACTTGCTGGCAACACTGGGGCCAAGCAAGCAAAGCAACACTTTCACAATTCTGATGGAAAACTAATTCCAACCTAGGCTTCTGTTATCAACCAACCATCACACAGGCCTGAGATAACTTTAGACATTCCAGGTCTCAGAACAATGTTTCTGCCATGCATTCTTCCTTGGGAAGCCATTAAATGTTTTCTTCTCATTTTGGTGGAACATGTCAAAAAATGAGACCACATATACCAACAAGTGAATCTGAGGCTGGCACATAGCTGGAATTATTGCATAGGTGGAGGGAGGAGGATCAGGAAATCAAAGTTAAACCAGTTATACATGGACTTCAAGACCAGTCTTAGATACAAGACACCCTGTTGAGACAGACAGAAAGAGGGCAGGGAGGCAAGCAGGCAGTCAGAGAGACCGAACACGGGAATACCACAGACAGACCAAACATGGGAATACCAGAGAGACCGAACACAGGAATACAGAAAAGGAATAAAGAAGGCATGAAAGAGTGGTAATGATTTTAAGCCCAAGGTTTAAAATTCCAACAGACACAGAAAGAAAAACCACGCCAAAATGAAGCAAGACCAAGGCAAAGAAAGATAAGCTTCCGAGAGAGAGAGATAAAACCCCAAGGAGTCTAGGTATGTTGGAGAATGGTTTTAGCAATTCTGAAAGCTCAGAGTCAAATTAAGGTAAGAGCATGGACAGCTAAATTAAAACCAAGTAAGATGGCTCAGTGGTTAAATTAAAACTGAGTAAGATGGCTCAGTAGATAAAAACACTTGCCCCCAAGCCTGACCACCTGAGCTCCATCCCTGAAGCCACATGGTGGAAGGGAGAGCACCAGCTAGCTACTCTTTGTTGTCCCCTACCACCTACATGCACACTGTGGTGTCTCTCACACACACTCCAAATACATGTGAAACAAAACAGACAATCGTTAATACCACAATCTAGTTAAAGCAATCACAGCACACCACATGGCTCAGCTGTGAACGTGGTCCAAACAATCAGCAAAAAGGTAAACCTGAAATACTTATCTAATCTACACAAGAACAATGGCAGGTGAAGAACTAGAGGTTGAAGAATGCATGCTGGAGACAGGAGAATGAGATCTGGTGTTAAAAAGAGACTCACTGTGTATGATTTAACTGAAAAGAAACTAGCAAAGCCAAGCTGGAAAAGGGGAAAGCAGTTTCCTTAACTGAACTGAAATATCTGACTATGTTTGAGTATGTGTATGTATAACTTCCATTAAGATGAGATGAAAACTAGTTTCCAAAAATGATCACTCTTGTTGGCAGAAGAACAATGTTAGAGGGTGTGTGTGTGTGTGTGTGTGTGTGTGTGTGTGTGTGTGTGTGGTGACTTAGCACTTGGCTAGCATGTTTGATACCCTGGGTTTTATTCCTCAGCCTCTGAGGGTGAGGTGAGGACACAGTGGAAGGAGAAAATGTTGGTAAATAGGATGAGGAAAACAGCCAGAAAAATATGGTGAATCCTAGTGAAGGATAATGGTTGTTTAGAATGAAATGACAGCCATGAAACTGGCCGGGGTTACTTTCCAGCTATGACAAAAGCATTGTATTTTAAAGTTGAGGGAGGGGTCTGGAGAGATGGCTTAGCTTAAGGGTACTTTCTTACTCTTGCACTCACGTGGTGATTCACAGCCATCTGTAACTCCAGTTCCTTCTGTCCCTTCAAGTTCCCAGCACACAAGCAATCATGCAGGCATAACACTCACATACACAAAATACAATTTAAAAATCTGAAAACTGACAGGGCACTGGTGGCACATGACTTTAGTCCTGGCACTTGGGAGGCAGAGACAGAGGCAGGCATGTCTCTACCTCCCAAGTGTTGAGTTTGAGGCCAGCCTGGGCTACAGAGCAAGTCCCACACAGCTGGGAAGGAATACAGAGAGAAATCTGGTCTCAAAAACAAAACCAAAGGGCTGGAGAGATGGCTAAAACAGGGTCTTATTACACTGCCTTGATTGGCCTGAAATTCACAATGTTGTTTTCAAACTAATAGCAATCCTCCTGCCTCAGATTGCCCCCCACCCCAAGTTTCTGGATTGTAGGCTTATACTACCATACCTAGCACAACATAACTCTGTGATTGAATGGATAAATAAGAATGACTAGAGCCACTGGTAGTAGAGCACCCCTTTAATCCCAGCACTTGGGAGGCAGAGGCAGGTAGATCTTGGTGAGTTTGAGGCCAGCCTGATTTACAAATCAAAGTTCCAGGACAGCCAGAACTGTTACACAGAGACAACCTGTCTCAAAAAAAAAAAAAAAAAAAAAAAGAATGACTAGGAGGTAAGTGTGTGTGAGTGGTGAGTGCATGTGTCTGTGTATACAGTGCCTGAAGGAAGATGTGGGTATCTTCCTTTAGGAGCTTTCCATAAGCTTTTTTTTTTTTTTTTTTTTTTTTTTTGAGACCGTGTTTCTCACTGAACCAGAAGCTCACTAAGCCAGTAAGATCCTAGGACTGTACCTGTCAATACTCAAAATGCCACAGTTGGAGGCAGCCACAAGCTAGCTCCAACTTTTACATGGGTACTGGCCATTTGAACTCAGGGCCTTGTGTTGCAGAGCAAGCCTTCTCATCCACAACCCCTATAACTGCTTTTTGTTTTCCTTCCTTTCTTCCTTCCTTCCTTCCTTCCTTCCTTCCTTCCTTCCTTCCTTCGTTTTTCGAGATAGAGTTTCTCTCTATAGCTTTGAAGCCTGTCCCGGAACTCACTCTATAGACCAGATTGACCTGGAACTCAACGATTTGCCTGCCTCTACCTCCTGAGTGTTGAGATTAAAGGCGCCACCACCACCTGGCCCCTATAACTGCTTTTCACCTTAAGCAACTACACTGGAATAAACAACTTTAAGGAAATGGTTAAGCCAGGGCAAGGTACAAGATAAGTAAGGGGCATGTTTTCATATTATGATACATTGGACTGGAGAGATGGCTCAGTGGTTAAGAGCACTGGCTGCTTTTTTAAAGGACATAAGTTCAATTCCTAGCACCCACTCAATGGATCACGATCGTCTGTAACTATCTGTAACTACTTCCGGGGGATCCGATGCTCTCTTCTAGCCTCTTAAGACACCAGGTTTGCTCATAATCCACAGATAGACACGTACATGTAGGCAAAACACCCATATACATAAAGAATAAAGATATTTTAAAAGATCTGTCTTGACCTCGAGTAAGTTGAGATTCCTAATGTGCTCTCCTCCCCAAGAAAAGAAGATAGCTAAGCCTTTAAGAGTGCGTGCGACACTTCCGGAGGACCTAACTTCAATTCCTAGCTTGTGTGACTCCACCTACAACATCACCTTCTGGCCTCTCTGGGCACCTGAACACTGCCACACACACAAAAATAATAATAAGGGACTACTGAGTTGGCTCAGCGTTTAAAAAGCATTTGCTGCTCTTGAAGAGGGCCAGGGTTTGGTTGCCAGCACACTCAATGGCAACTCACAACCACCTGTAACTCCAGTCCCAGAGGCTCTGGATATCCTCTTCTAACCTTTAAAAGTCCTAGGCATGTCCATGCTGCACAGACAAACATGCAGGAAAAACACTGATATACATGATATAATTACTCTTTAAAAATAAAACTTTTTTAAAAAGAGAGCAATGAGTAGCCACCGCAAAGTGAATATATATGTATATATGTTCACAGGAAATTTCTGACAAGCTAATCCCTTGCGAGCCCAGACGCAGACAGCTCAGTCTCAGACGTCCAGGGAGCTGGCAATTCCCTGAAAATCACCACCAATGTCCGGGTCGGCTTCCAGAACGCTTCAAAGCGACGGTGCGCTCAGCTTGCCAGCTTCACGCGCCAGTTCCCGCGCTCTGAGGGGGCGGCGGCCCGGGAGAGCAGCTGTGCAGAACCGACCCACGCGTGTTCCAGGCCGCTGTGGGCCAGGGTCCTAAGGACGGGGACGCCGGACCCTCGCGCCCAGGGGAAACTCGAGGCCACGAGGCCCACGCCCTGAGGAACCTGGAGAGCCTCGAGTGAGGCGTGAAGCGTGGGAACAACCTTCCTCTCGCTTCAAGCCAAACCGCTCACCCGACGGCACGTAGTCCTCATCCTCGTCCGACGTGGAGAAGTCTTCGGAGTCGAATTCCTCCATGCTGCTGTCACTTGGGGCCTGCTACCCACACGACTGCGGCCACTGCCCCCAAAGAGCAAAGCTCTAGGGCGAGACCATAGAGGTGCTGGGCCAGCAGCTAGGGTAGCCCTGAAGGCGTGCACACATGCGCAGATGATGCCACGTGGTCAAACACGACACTTCCGGCTGGTACGGTAGGTCATCCTACACTCTCCGGGCCCGTGTGGGATTCCGGACCCTCCCAGAAGCGATGCATGCTGGGGCTTGTAGTCTTTAGCGCTACCGTGCATCCTTGATGGAGAATAGACTATGCAGAAATACAGTTGTCTCTCTTTATACGAGGCTTTTTTTTTTTTTTTTAATTTTCAAATTCGCTTACTCGGTAATTTCTTTTTGTAACTCTCAAATCAATGATTAAAATGTTACTCCCGGACATGCGCTGCAAGTAAAAATTAAGAGTCCACGATGTGCTAAGCTCCCAGCGACTTTTGAGCAAGGCTGAGGCTCCGCCTTCTTGGTTCAACTCTATTGCTAGCATGGAGTACTTTAGCGCAGTTTTAATGCCTTTCTTCTGCATTTTGAGTTTTTCTGGATGATTTTGCAGCCTAAAATGGCTTCCAAGAATACTACTGAAACGCTGTCTAATATTCTAAGCGCAAGAAGGCTGCGATGTGCCTTACTGAGAAAAATCTGCTTGTTAAGTAAGTTGCTTTCAGGCCTGAGTTCCAAGTGCTGTTGGCAGCGAGTTCGCTTTTAATGAATAAACAATCAGGTAATCAACTAAACAGAAAAGAAAATCCATTTATTTGTGAGTGAAGCCACTGCACAAAATGCTAAATTGACACATATGGTGAATCAATGGGAAAGATGGAAAAGTAATTAAATTTGTGAATATGTTGGGAGTGGAGAGATGGCTCAAAGGTTAAGAGTACTTGCTGCTTGCATACCAGGTATGCACATGGTACGCACACATATGCAGACACGTACACGTTAAATAAAAATTTGTAGATTCATGAGATAGCTGTCAGAAAACCATAATGTGCCCACAGCCTTTAGTCCCAGCACTCAGGAGGGAAAGGCAGGCAGATCCCAGTGATCAAGGCCATGATGAGAGAGGGAGAGGGAGGAAGAGGAGAGAGAGGGGGGGGGGGAAGGGAGAGAGAGGGAGATTGAAAATCAAATAAATCTGTTTAGTTTTGTTTTGATTTTTTGCCTCAAACACTGCCTTTCTCAACCAGCCCCTTGGCACACTTTCAAGGCACACTAATCAAGGGAGCTCTTTTTGGTTTTGTTTTATTTTTGAGACAGGGTCTCACTATGTAGCTCTGGCTGTCCTGGAACTCAGTGCTAATACCCATTTCCACCCAACCACCAGTATCTATGAATTTGCCTATTGTGGACATTTTATGCAAACAATAATAATACAGTATGTGGTCTTTAGTGGTTGCCTCAGCAGAGCATTTTCAGATGTGGAATTTTCCCCTCATGAAATAATGTTTCACCTTTTGAGGAACTGTCAGACTGTTTTCAGAGGAGTTGCCCTATCTGTAGCAGCAGCAGCAGCAGCAGCATATGAGAACTCATTTCTTTATCTACACCCTTACCAGCACCCTATGTTGCCTTTTGTATAGGATATGAAATGGCATCTCTGTATAGCCTTGGTTTGTATTTCCTTAATGACAAAAGATGTTAAATATCATGTCCTTATAGGTCATTGTATATGTTCTTTGAGAAAAAAAAATGCCTTGTCAGTCAGGTGTGGTGGTACATGCCTTTAACCCCAGCAGAGGCAGACAGATCTCTGTGAGTTGAAGGCCAGCCTGTTTTCCATGGTGAGTTCCAGGCCAGCCAGAGCTACAGAGTAAAACCCTCTTTCTCTCATGCACACAGTTTCCTCAGAATCTTTGCCCATTTTACAACTGGTTTTACTGACAGTGTAAATACTTTCTGTGTCCTGGGTATCTGTCTCCCTTATCTCTGATTGGAGAAGATCCTCCTGTCTCCTGAGGCCTCTTTGCACTTCTTGGTAATTGAGGGGTAAGTCTCTGTTCAGCTGGTGTCACTAAAACAGGGAAGAGTCAATACCTCCTGCGGCTGTTTGAGCAGACCTGAGTCTCTGGAACACCAGATGATTCATAATGGAGTCCCAGCTAACTGCAGACCCTCCAATTTGGCGCCAAAACCCAGGGCGTTGCCTGCTTCCTGCTCTTTGTCTGCAGACACACTGCCTGGACATACTGAGCCCCTCTTTCCCCCGACTTCCTCACATAACAGGGGTTGCCTGTCATTCAGATTGGACAGCAACTTGATAATATGACCTTCTGACTGGGTAATGCATGCATATATGCCAGTGAATATACATATTAAACCAGATCTGCACCTCAATACTAGTCTCTGGAGTCTGCTTCTGTGGAAACTAGTCATGACTCTTTCTCCTTGCCCCCTCCCCCACTGAACCACCAGTGAGATGGAGCAAAACCCCAAGGTAATTCCTTTTGAACGTGAATTTTTTGTTTTGGTGAAGTCTAGTCTATTATTGTGTCATCCTTGTATGCTTTTGGTATTTTATCTAAGAAAACTGCCTAAGCCAAGATCATGACTCTTACTTCCATATAGAGAGTTTTAGTTCTTACATTTAGGCCTATGATTCCTTGAATCAGACTTTTCAGCTTTAAAACTTTATTTGGTGTGTGTGCCCTCTTGCATGTGCTTGCATCATGAACATGCAGGGATCAGAGGGCACTCTGCAGGGCTCTGTTCTTTCCTTCCACCTTGCAGGTCCCAGGGACTGGACTCAGTTCATCAGGCTTGGTGGCAAGTGTCCTTGCGCACTGAGATATCTTGCTGGCCTTAAAACAGAATTTTCTTACCTGAAAATAATAGAATAACAGAAATACTTAGACATAATCTTTTGAATTTCACTATTCTTGGCCTTATTGCCCTTGGATATTACCCTTCCTAACACCGAATGAAGGTCAGGTTCTCAACTAAAATCCCCAAGCAGTTTGAGAACGATTGCATAGTGTCATGTAGTTATGAAAGTCTCTTTTTCCATTCTTTTTTGAAAAAGGGCCTCTGTAGGCCAGAATTGCCTAAACTCACCCTCATACTTGTGATATCACTCTTGCCTCAGGCTCTGAGCAGACATCACTGGCCTGAGTCACCATACCTAGCTATTTAAGGAGGGCATGCTCATGTGCAAATAAGTGCATGTGTGTTGTGTGTCTGTGTTCACGTTTGCACTCATGCACATGTGGAAACTAGAAATTGGTATTGGATGTCTTCCTCAAAGGAGCCTCCATGTCTGCCTAGCATTTGTGAGAGTGGGTGCTGGTTTACTGTTGCCTTGGCAAATGTTTAAAGGATCATCCCTGCCACATTCAGCACCTTTGGCTCTTCATCTTCCAGTCTCCACATTCAAGGTTGGCTTGTCACTTTTATTTTATTTTTTTGGCTTGTCACTTTTATGGAAAAGGAAGTTTCTTTCATTATGTCTCAGGTCCATACAATTCATGGGGACGTCTGGCTGAACCCTACCTGTCCACACCTGATACTCTGTATCTTTTCAGGATGGCAGAAACATGTCTCTTGATCTGACTGGTAGTCACATAAGTACACACATATGCAAAAATTTACCAAGCTGTACAGTCAAGATCTGTGTACTTACTGAATGCTTAAAAAAATTATAGCTGAGTGTGGCATGCTTTTAATCCCAGCACTTAGAGGCAGAGGCAGAGGCAGGGGGGCTGGAGAGATGGCACAGTGGTCAAGAGCACTGACTGCTCTTCCAGAGGACCCAGATTCAATTCCCAGTACCCATGTGGCAGCTCAGGATCCAGCACCCTCACACAGACATACCAATAGGCAAAACATCAATGAGATAAAAATTAAAATTAAAAACAAAAACACAGAAACCACAACCAGATGATCATTTTGCCAGGCAGTGGTGGTGCATGCCTTTAACCCCAGCACTTGGGAGACAGAGTCAGGCAGATATCTGTGAATTCAAGACCAGCCTGGTCTACAAAGTGACATGAATTCCTGGACAGCCAGAGCTGCTACACAGAGAAATCCTGTCTCAAAAAAAAAAAAAAAAAAAAAAAAAAAGTGTGTCTGGGGGGTTGAGGGGGGTGGCTGGAGAGATTGCTCAGAGGTTAAGAGGATTGAATGTTCTTCTAGAGGTCCTGAGTTGAATTCCCAGCAACCACATGGTGGCTCACAACCATCTATAATAAGATCTGGTGCCCTCTTCTGGCCTGCAGGCATACATGCAGGCAGACCACTATGTATGTGTATATATGTGTGTGTGTGTGTGTGTGTGTGTGTGTGTGTGTTAAATAAATCTTTAGAAAGGAAAGAAGGAAGGCAGGCAGAGGCAGACACACCTTTGTAAGTTTGAGGCCCCCCTGGACTTCATAGCAAGTTCCAAGACAGGCACAGAAAATAACGAAACCCTGTCTAAAAACAAACAAAAATTTAAAAGACAGAATGGATGGTAAACACCTGAAACTGAGTGACCCAACTTGCCAAAAATAGAATAAAGGCATATTAGTTACTGAGGAATTAAATTATGGAAATCTAGAGTTTCTCTTCCAGGGGGCCACTGAAATAATAAATTATTTTCACACTACTCAGCCATAAAAGCACACAAATCCCCCCAACACACACACACACATGTATGGTGTATGTATATGTTCACATGGGTTTGAACATATGTTCATGTGGAAAGCGGAGGTTGACATTGGGTGTCTTCCTCATGCTAGATTTTATTTATTGAGGTGGGGGTCTCTTGAGGAAATCTTCAGGAATGCAGTCTCCCCCTCCAGAGTGCTGGAATTGAGAATAGGCAGGTCCCCATGCCTCCTTCGCTTTTTCTTGAGTGTTGGGGATCTGAACTCTGGTCCTCATGCTTGCACAACAAATGCCTTACCCACTGAGTCATCTTTCTAGATCCCATACAAAGCTTCTTGATATGAATATATGGCCTGATCAGTAAAGTTAATGAATGAATTCACTTTAAGCAATTTAACCACATCTTTGAAAAAGAATTTTGTTTTGTTTTGTTTTTGGAGACAGGGTTTCTCTGTATTGCTTTGGAGGCTGCCCTTGAACTCGCTCAGTAGACCAGGCTGGCCTCAAACTCAGAGATCTGCCTGCCTCGGCCTCCTGAGTGCTGGGATTAAAGGCATGCGCCACCAACACCCAGCTTTTTTTTTTTTTTTTCCCCTAAAGATTTATTTATTGTGAATACAGTGTTCTGCCTGCAGGCCAGGAGAGGGCACCAGATCTCATTACAGATAGTTGTGAGCCACCATGTGAGTGCTGGGAATTGAACTCAGGTCTTTTGGAAGAGCAGTCTGTACTCTTAACCCCTGAGCTATCTCTCCAGCCCAAAAAAGAATTTTATTATAAATTATTGCAAAGTTGAACATAAGCCAAGTGGTGATGGCATACACACACCTTTAATTCCAGCAGTGGGGAGACGGAGGCAAGCAGAGTCCAGCCTGGTCCACAGAGTTCCAGGACAGCCAGGGCTACATTGAGAAACCCTGTTTCAAAACAAACAAACAAACAAACACAAAAAATAAAGTTGAACATAAGAGAAATAACAGTTAAAACATACAATTTTATTATAAAAGACTACACGATAAATGTAATTCCCAGAGCTGGCAAGCAGCCCCGTTACCAAGCCTGACTGCAGTTTGATCCCAAGGATCCACATGAAAGCTGTCCTCTAACCTCTACTATATACCATGACAAGCACATGCCATTGCTCCCACCAACAAATACATTAAAAATGGCGGTGGGATCCAGGCATGGTGGCACATGCCTTTAGTTGCAGCACTTGAGGCTGGGGCCGGCAGATTTGAGTTCAAGAGCAACCTTAAACAAGTTTTGGGCCAGCCATGGCTGCATAGTGAGACCCTGACCAAAATAAATAAATAAACGGGGGGGGGGGGATAAAAAAGCAACTTCAGAGCAAGTGTGGCAGTGCACCTGTAATCCCAGCACTTGGGAGGCAGAGACAGGAAGACTGCCACAAGTTCAAGGCCAGCCTGGACTTCATGAAGAGTTGGAGGCTAGACAGGGATACAGCAAGACATTGCCTCAGATAAAATCTAAAAGCAAACAAATAAAAAATGCAATCCCAACTCAAAGAATTTAAAGTAATTCTTTATTGATAAACATTTACATTAGCATTAGAAATGTCAGTAGAAAAATAAATTTTAAATAAGTTTCTAATGTACAAAGATTTGATCACTTGGACTATAGCAGTTAAGTGTAATAACTTAATATAAAAAGTTGAGCTGATTTTGGTCATAACCAGCCTTACATAGTACACAAGAAAGAAGCACAACTTCGCAGAGCCTTCTGCACATGGACCACTAATGGCACCAAGGCGTCACATTCCAGGAAACAGTTCCTTAGGGAAGTTTGGCGTGTCCTACAGTGTCACAAGGACTTACTGAAAACCAGGGCAGTCAGAAGGACATTGGAACCAAAAGCTAACATACAATTTAAAAACCTAAAGGACACTGGAAGGATGGACGCCATTATTTGCATGAACCGATCCTCACTACTTCCGGCAGTAAGTCCTAAGGAGTATATTGCTCCAAAGGAAGTAACAGCCCAGAGACACAGCTTGCTCACATAATAATCATTACACTTTTGTACATGAACTTAATTTTTACCCCAAAATTCACTAAGGAATCAAGAGATTAGCTTTTTGGTTGGGTTGTTGCCTCCCTATCTCAGAATTTAAAAAGAAGGGGTGAGAAGTGGAAATATAAATGCAGGAATCAGGGTTCAAGAAAGTCCTTACTGGGAGAAAACTACTGAAGAAAGTGTATAAGGTGATGTGTTGAACACAAATCATGGCAAATAAATCCGCATTTGAGACACGAGACAAGAGGAAGAAGTGGAAAGCATTCTTTGTTTAGCACTCAAGTGGTCTCTTCCTGAAAGCACTCAAGCCTTAACGAAGCTCAGTCTATAGAGTGTGTGTGTGTGTGTGTGTGTGTGTGTGTGTGTGTGTGTGTGTGTATACACATTTATTCACAAAAGAATGCTTCACACACATGGGGATAGATGAAACACTCAGTAATTTGAAGATAAATTTTACAGTTCAAGTTTTTGGTTTTTGTTTTTAAAGAGCAGATAAAACATAAGCAAGAAACAAGAAACAGATGGAAACAAAAACACCCTAACGTTTATGTCTTGGGTGTAAATACAAATAATCTTTTCTAGTCATGGGGGTGGATATGTTCAGAAGTTATTAATTAGGGGGAAAAGCCCACCACCAATTCATCTGTGTGCTTACTATGTGAAATTATATCCCAAGCAATGTTTAGTAAGCACTCTAGGCATCCTTCAGTAGATCCTGCACTGCCATCATTTCCCAGAATGCAAGGTACAATGTTCCAGTTTGTCCACACAGCCCCTGAGACCAAAAGTAGAAATTTTGCCAGGCGGTGGTGGTACACACTTTTAATCCCAGCACTCAAAGGCAGATAGGCAGATCTCTGTGAGTTCAAGGCCAGCCTGGTCTACAGAGCGAATTCCAGGACATGTTCCAAAGCTACAGAGAAACCCTAACTCAAAACAACAACAACAACAACAACAAAAAAACAAACAAACAAACAAAAAAAAAAACACAGAAAATCTTTTGTTGGAAGAAAGATTTGCTCTTTTTTTTTTCTGGTGAATATTAAGGGCCATTTATCTGCACTTTAATAGCCTACTAAATTTGATCTGTCATTACAGTTTTAACAAGTGGTAGTCAAAAGGAAAGAGCCCATTATTTTTGTGGCCATCCCTGAAATATCCTCCCACCCCCACCCCACCCCTGCCATCCCTGGGCAACGTGACTCTCTTGGCTATTTTATCTCATTTTAAAAATTAAGTGTCTGGAGTGGGGGGGGGGAGCAAGAAACATGTGCATGTGGGTGACCACAGAAGTCCTCTTGTCTACTTAAAAAAATTTTTTTAATTACATTTATTTATTTATTTATGTGTGCAGCATGTGGAGGTCAGAGGACAACTAGCAGGAGTTGGGTCTCACCTTTCACCTTGTGGATCCTGGGAATCAAGCTCAGGTCAGGGGGAAGTACCTTCACCTGCGGAACCATCTTGCTGCCCCACCCCCAACTGTTTTTAACTGGAAACCAAAAGCATATTTCTTGAAGATAAATTTATGTCCTCATAGGTTGTCAGCCTTAATCTCACAATGAAAACTGTCCTTTAAAAATGTCGGAGTTAATTACCAGAAGCTAATTTGAAAACAGGTAACAACAAGAACATTGTACTTTATATAAAACTGTTAAAATGACAAAAGACGCATACCTTTTTATACCCCTTTCCCTTCTGAAGGTCACAGTTTGCAGGCCTTTCTAATGAAAAAACAAAGTTAGGCAGTCAAGTTAAAAATTAAAATGGCTAAAATCAAGTTAAAAACTATGTCTCTTTAAGGAAATAAATTCTCTTGAATAAAAATAAAAAGGTCAGAGGGGTTGTGTGTGAAAAGGGAGTTGTAGGCACTTTCTGGGAGTTGATACTCAAATACTGCAAAAGTGGGCTGAGGTGCCACTGATAGGTAAACACAGAAGGAAACCAATAACCACTAACTCATTTCAGAAGCACTCTACAAGTTTTGGAGTCATCAAACTAAAATCAACATGAAAAACTATAATGATCCTGCAAGTGTCTTATTTGTACCTGAATGTCCAAAAAGTATCCTACCTGGTTTTGAAGTTCAACTCAAGCCACTTAAGAAAGTCTGTGTGTTTACAGAGAAAGTAAATCATATGGATAGTGTTAAGGGTGACAGGCAAAAGTATCAAGGATATTCTTTGGAAAAAGAGCCTCAATTAGGCATGATGGTGATGCCTACTATCCCAGCTATTCAGGAGGCTGAGGCAGGAGGATCACTTGAGTCCAGACGTTTGGGTCAGCCTGAGTAACAAAGCAAGACCTCATGTCTTAATAAAGAAAAAGAAAGAAAGAAAAAAAAAAAAAAAAAAAACAGAAAAGACATCTCAATTAGCTAGCTTATTTTGATCAATGATATTCACATCTCTTAAAATATATTAAATAATCAGAGGTCAAGAGAGTTACCCATAAAATGTCACATTCACAGTAGTCACCTACTTCTGATAGTGGGACTGGAGCTGTTACTTTGAATTATACTTCAGTTCTTCCAGTTAAGAGTCCACCAGTTTGCTCTCAGAGCGACACACAACCCAAGCAAGCTCGGCTTTCCTGTCATGACAGTAAGCTTTTAGTACAGTGTAGCCTGCTCCCTTCAAATCAAACATCATTGTCCACTGTTTCTGTGAAACAGCAATGTTGCATTTTTTTGCAAATGATGCAAAATCTTGTTCGAAAGATGCAAACCTGAGGCATTGTTGGCTTAGATGAAGATGTGCATGTAAAACTTAAGTGGCCATAAGAAAAGAAAGCCAAGGAGCTTGGCGTGGCTGAGAATGAGAGCTGTCTACAAGGGTCTTCAATTGCTGGAGCTTCCAACTGGAGAAAGAGCTGGGGTGTTCTTCCCATTCTTCTGCTCCCAAGTTGCTTCCATTTGAGGAACGAAGAAATCATGACACCGTCTCTTCCTTTTGAGGAGTATAAAACGCAGGTGTGACATCACAGTGAAAGGACATATGCTATAGAGTAGCTAAAACCCGTAAAAAAGAGACCACCACTACACAGAACGTCTGTCCAATGCCAAGGGTGAGGGCTTCAAAGGGGATCATCTCCTTCCCTGCAGCTCGATAAACCCCAGCAATTGCTGCACCTGGTTCAAAATGGATCAAGTTAAAAGAGAAAAACATCAATTAATAAAACAAAACCTGAGATTAATGTCATCATGAAAATGTAACACTTAAAAATTCACTGTTGGGAGACAGACTTTTACATTTAATTATGAAAGAAGTTTCATCCTCCCTGTCCATTCTGGTGACCACACTAACTTTATGTGCCTTGCAAGTCAGCATTTAGATTTGTACTCCCTAGGATTGAGTATCCCATATACACTGAGTGATCTGAAGTGACAGTCAAGATAACAAGACAGCAATTCCCCCCAGTCCGACATCTCTCTTTACTCCTCTGCCCATTAACCCCATGCCTATCACTGAATGGGCACCAAATACATTCTTAGTAATGAATGACAATCTACTGAGAAAGATCAAGAAACGCTTCCAGGCCACTGGGATCCCAGCTCCACTTTCTCTTATACTAGGGTTCCATTTGAGGAAGAAAAGGAGGGAGGGAGAAAGCAACACAGGGTTCTGAGCCATAAAGCAAGCTATTCAAAGGGCACCAGGGGAGAGAACTCAGGGTCCCTTCTGTTTCCCAGGTCACTGTTTCCTTATTACAGTCACTACAACCTCCTGTAGATCAAGAGCATGCATAAACACCGGTATCCACCCCCCCCCACCCATCTAACATTCTACACAGACACCAAGTGGACCCAGCTATCTGAAAGTCATAGGAACTCAAACACAGTTGACTCAATCACGTATCTACAGGTAGGCTGGGGGTGTGGGTCAATGATAAAATATACGCTTAGTATGCACAAGGCCATGGGTTCCATTTTCAGCATCTCAAAAAGAAAGGAAGACAACACATTTTTAAACTGTGATATGAGATATTTTTAATCTGTTTTAACAAGAAAACAGTGTTAGATACTTGACTTTGCCTCCAGTGGCAATCAATACCACTAATGTCTCAGAGGGCATGTTTCATGAAATCTCTGTAACTGAGCTTCCTTGAAGAAAAAGAGAAGAAGCCTGAGGAACCTTATCTGGGCCTTCACATGAGACACAGATGATGAGGGAAGAAAGGAAAATCCTACAGAGAACAGGAAGAAAGAAAATCAAAAACAAAACAACCCCAAATCCTTAAAACAGAAACGGGAGCACCTCTTCCGTTGCTGTGTGCCAGCTACTGGCCAGGTACTCTACTGTATTGAGCCACCTCATCCAATCAGCATTCAAGGATATGAGGTGGGCAGGTCATCCCTGCTCTACTGATAGGAAACCAGTCCCAGGGGCCAGAAATTCAGGGTGGATACTGCAGCATTAAGTGACACAGGTAGAACACAGAAACTAGGCTACAGTGCCTCAAAAAAAAAAAAAGAAAGAAAGAAAAAAGAAGAAAGAAAGAAAGAAAGAAAAGGAAGGAAGAAAGGAAGGAAGAAAGTCAAAGAGACCAATGGACATATTTGCTCATGGAGGGGTTCAAATTCACAGGGAAAATAAAATAAGGTGACAAAGTGACAAATTAGGAATGTTACATTCCTGTTTTTATGATAATACATACATATATTTAGATCCACACAAAAATATAGTCTGGCTATTAATATACATATAATTTTTATTTTTATGATGCTTAAATTTTTATTTCTAGGAAATACATATGCTTCTATGATATTATGAATTTAAAAGTGATTTAAGCTTATAATTTTGTTCCCTCTAATTGTGTTACAGAAGCAGGTTTGGGGCTGGAGAGATGGCTCAGTGGTTGAGAGGACTGGCTGCTCTTCCAGAGGTATTGAGTTCAGTTCCTGGCAACCAACCACATGGTGGCTCACAACTATCTATAATAAGATCTGGTGCCCTCTTCTGACCTGAAGGCACACATTCAGGGACAGACCGGTGTCTACATAATAAATAAATCTTAAGAAAGAAAGAAAAAGAAAGGAAGAAACAAAGAAAGAAAGAGAGGGAGGGAGGGAGGAAGGAAGGAAGCAATCAAGCACACGCTAAAGAGTGGAAGCAATTATCGAACTATTCTGTAAAGCTGAGTCAAGTCAAATCTGAACAAAAAGATGCTGAAGCTTCTGTGGCCAAACACTTCTATGTTGCTAGTGGCCTGTGGAAGCCAGGTAAGGGGCTTGAGAATTAAAAAAAAAAAAAAAAAACAAAGCAAAACCCCAAAGGGAATACATTAAAAAAGAAGTCCACACTTGAAAGATAACTCTTTGGCGGGGCATTGGTGGTACAGGCCTTTAGTCTCAGCACTCAGGAGGCAGAAGCAGGTGGAACTCTATGAGTTCAAGGCCAGCCTGATCTACAGAGCTAGTTCCAGGACAGGCTCCAAAGCTACAAAGAAATCTGTCTAGAAAAAAACAAAAAACAAAACAACAACAACAAAAAAAAGCTAACTCTTCAAAATTCATTGTGTGCACACATACAACACACAGATAACACACACTTTTCCCCTCTTCCCCTCCCAGTGCTAGAGACCAAACCCAGGGCTTTGTGCTCACTAGGCAAGCATTTGTCCACTGAGCTAAATTCCCATCCACCCCAACCCTCCCTTACTTCTAAAAGGAGGCCTAAAATGAGGTGACCAACCACATTCCAAGCTTTGGACTGGTATTTGAATGTCTAACATACTTGTCAAGACTCCAGCAGAAATTGGTCCCACGATGCCCATCATCAGGATGCCTACAGACATGAACCTACCATATTTGTGATGTCTGAGGGTGAAGAGGGCCAGGAGTCCAGCAGGGACATGAAAGAAGACAGAAGACACAAGTGCCCACAGGAACACACCATACCACATCTCTGTGAGGGCAGAGAAAAGCAAAGCTGGAGTCACAACCCTTCCCAGTGAGGCCCTGCCAAGGAGTCCAGTCCCAGCCACTTCACCCTCGAGTCCCAGTCTCACTGGCATTTAGTTGTACTCTAGTGGGTTTTGCTGTTTGTGTTCTTTGTTTTGTCTTTTCTTGTTTTTTTTTTTTTGTTTTGTTTTGTTTTGTTTTGTTTTTTGGTTTTTTTTTTTTTTTTTTTTGTTTGGTTGGTTGGTTGGTTGGCTGGCTGGCTGGTTTTCAGAGACAAGTTTTCTCTATATAATAGTCCTGGCTGTCCTAGAACTCTTTCTGTAGACCAGGCTGGCCTGGGCTACACAAGCTTCATACATGCTTGGCACACACTGGCCAGTAGTACTCAGTTAATGGGTGTGACATCAAAAGTATGCCATGCCAGAAGTCTCCACAGAGATCAAACCACCCTAATTAAACAGCACTGTCTTGACTGAAGCAGAACATTTACAAGACCACTGACAGGAGAATGGGTTACATCATGAAGAGCTCAGGGCTACATGGGAGGTGTCCCTCTCGGGCTCATACACTGAGGGCTTGGTCCCTAGCCAGTAGTGCTATCCCAGGAGATGGTGGAAAGTAGGAGGTGGGGACCAGATAGAGGAAGCAGGTCCTCGACTATCTCTTACCCTGACTCCTTCCTAGTCCTGCTTCTTGGCTGCCACTGGGTGAGCAGCTCTGCTCCACCAGGCCACGATGCCTCACCACAGGCCCAAAAATAGTGCATCCAACAGACTAAAGACCACATGTGGTCTCTGAAACCTTGAACCTAGGTCTTTGGGAGCTGGATGATTTTTTAAAATATTTATTTAATGTGAATGGGTGCTTTTATTGTATGTATGCGTGTGACATGCCTGGTACCCAAGGGGGTCAGAAGTCCCTGGAACAGGAGTTATAGCTGGGTGTGAGCTGCCATGTGGGTGCTGGGAATTGAACCTGGGTCCCCTGGAAGAATAGCCAATGCTCTTAACAACTGAGCCATCTCTCCAGCCCTTGAGTGATTCTTCAGAAAACCTCACAGAGCCTGTTAAGGATAACTAATAATTGACAGTATTTGGTCTGGTGACTATCAGACAACTACAAAGGGTGTCAAAGCTTTCATAGTGACTCACACCTTAGTCCCCAGCATTTGGGGAACAGAAGCAGAAGAATTACCATGAGTTCGAGGTCAGCCTGGGCCACAGATACTGTCACAAAACAAAGCAAAATAAAACAAACAAACAAAAAAAACCAACCAACCAACCAAACAAACAAAAAACCTGTCAAACCTTTTTGAGACTTTTTTTCCCTGCTAGACTCCCATCACTCTTTAAACCATAACTGCTGAAATATGGGGCCTCAGAGAAAGTTCTGTGGAGACTCTTAAGAAGGCTGCTGCCCCACAGTGAACAAATGGATGTGACCACACCTTCTGGAGCTTACAGTGGTAGCCACCCAGTTATAGCCCAACACCACGAAGATGGGAATACCGCTGACCTGAAGCTGGACCTCTCTGTGCAGCTGCAGTGGGGGCTTCTTACTGGCTGCCCAGATCATGTGTGGTGAATTTGGAGTGGAGCAGTGCCCTGATTCACACCAAGCTAGTAACTTCCTCGTATGTGACTCTGGCCTAGGTGTGGGTTGAATTGTTTTTCCTCAAATTCACACTAAATCTGAGAGCACTATGGCTTGTCTTTTCAGACAGGGTCTCACTATGTAGCCCAAGCTGGCCTGGAAATCACATAAATCCCACAGCCTCTGCCTACTGAGTTCTGGGATTAAAGGTGTTCATCAACTTTAGCTGTTTTACAAGAGGGAGATTAACTCCTCCCACACTGCCCCCCCCACACACACACCAGTAACATGAGAGCTTCCTGAGAGGCAGGAAGTAAATCCTCACCTTTACCTGACCCTGGTTAGCACCCAGATCTGACTTGTGGCCTCCAGAACCAAGGAAACAACGGGCTGTTTAAATGTCTAGATGTCTAGCCTGTGGAGCTGCTTTACAGCAGCCTGACTGTGACACCTACACACTCACTCATTGCTACTGCCCTTGGAGCAAGCACCTTCCCAGGAAGGGTGAGCAGGGCCCTGGTGGCACCATTCTGCCTGAGGGGCAGCAGCACACGGGCGTGCAGTGCCCCATCACACCCTGAACCATCTGTGTTAGCCACTTCTGTGCCCACATAGTGTTAGCCACACTGCGGGGGGGGGGGGGGAGGGGGGAGAGAATTTATTACATGAAATGAGTAGTTTATAAATATACTCTCAGGATGATTACAAGACGTTAAAAGCTACAGCAAACTGTGATCTATAAAACACTTAAAGAAAAAAAAAACTAAGTGATTTCTTTTTAATCTACTGCACCTCAATTTACCAACTGTTTAATAGCTATTTATTGATCGATGTGGAGTTCTTTTCATTCCCCTGGCTCAACACATCTTCAAAAATGCTTCCCTGTCTTACATTTCCTTGTTCACTGCTTCAAATCCAGAGCACTGTCAGCTGTGTTTTCCTTGGCAGCTCTTTGTTGGTTTTCTGCTGCTGTAACACAATCTTTTTTGCCTTAAGATTCTGTAAGCTGGGAAGTCCAAGACTAAGAGGCCACATTTGGGAAGACCTTCTTTTTATTTTTTCGTGTGTGTGTGTGTGTGTGTGTGTGTGTGTGTGTGTGTGTGTGTGAGAGAGAGAGAGAGATCACATGTGTATGGGCATATGTGTGGAGGCAGACATTGCCATTGGGTGTCTTCTTTGCCCCCTTCCTTATATTTTGAGACAGAGTCTCTCACTTGAATGCAAAGCTCACCAATTCAGATAGTCTAGCTAGCCAACTTTTTCTGGGGTCCCTTCACCTCCCAGATCCCAGGTTTGCAAGTAGGTTACCATGCCCACACCACATTTATGTTAGTACTAGAGATCCAAGCTCTGGTCCTGGTGGCATCAAAGCCCTGGGTTCAATCTTGAGCAAGTTACACACACACACACACACACACACACACACACACAGAGTTTTCAGACCATGGAAGAGCAAAGACTCATGAAGAGCTGTATCCCCCCAAATGATACTGAATTAGCAAAAGGGCTTGCAGATGGATAGCTTTCTGCCTGAGTCACCTTGGCCCCAAGATCTCCAGTCTAGAAGAGCAGGAACGGGAGTGCCAGGCAAGCAGGCAGCCATCCCTGCAGCTGGGTTCTATTCTGACCTTATGTTCCAGGTCAAACCGCTGAATAAACTGACAGCTCCTGGGTGGACCTCTGTAAAGCTGGGGCTGTAAGCCGGCCACATCTGTCCCCCTGGGGACTACAGTCTTGTCCAGTGCTGTAACTCCCTGCTGGAACTAGGCTGCCTGGTTGCTCATGGCCCATCAGCCTGCATCACTCTTCACTCCCTGCTTGCCAACTGTGTCCTCTCTGCCAGGAGATCCATGAGTAGCCTCCCCTCCTCTCTAACAATGACTTGCCCTCCTATCTAACAAGGACTACCAACTTGGGCCTGGCATTTCTCTCCTGATACTACTTGTCTTACTCGGTATTCTAGTGCTGTGAAGAGACACTATGACCAAGGCAACTCTCACAAAAGAAAACATTTAGTTGGGGGCTTGCTTACAACCTCAGAAAGTATGTCCATTATCAACAGGGTGGGAAGCAGACAGGCATTGCCTTGGAACAGTAGCTAAGAGCTTCCCACAAGCACAAAGCAGAGAGACACAGCCTAGTATGGGCTTTGGAAACCTCAAAACTCACCCCCCAGTGACACACCTCTTCCAATAAGGCCACACTTTCCCAAAACACTTCCTTCCCATAATAGTTCTACCAACTAGGAACTGAGCATTCAAGCATATGAGCCAGTGGGGGGGGGCATTCTTATTCAAACCACCACAAAAGCCAAGGCTGGCCTTGAATTCAGGATTTAGCTCAGGATGGTTGGCCTCAAATGCATGACCATTCTACCTCAGCCATCCAAGTGCTATGTTTACAGATGTGTGCCACCACAGCCGGCCTGATCGCCTTATGCAAAACTTGATACACCTCAGCCACTTACTGTGCCCCTCACCTGTCTCATACTCACCACTAGGTATAGTGTCCTTATTTTTCTCTATGTCTCTCCACTGGAATGAATGACCCATATGGGAGCAGCTTTGTTTTGTCTGTCAAGACCTTTCTAGCAGATAGGCAACAAACATAACCAGAAAGCTAGAGAGATGACTCAGCAGTTATGAGCCAATGCTACTCTTGCAGAGAATCAGAATTCACATTCCCAAACCCATACTAGGCAACTACCTATAACTTCAGCTTCCACAGCATCAATGTCCTCTTCTGGCCCCATGGGCATCCATACACATGTGTTCATACACTTAAGGAAAAATAAATCTAAAAAATAGAAAAGCAGAGCCAAGCCTTTAGTCCCAGCACTCAGGAGGCAGAAGCAAGTGGATCTCTGTGAGTTCGAGGCTGACCTGGCCTACAGAGTGAGTTTCAGGGCAGGCTCCAAAGCTATAGAGAAACCCTGTCTTGAAAAACAAAACAAGCAAACAAACAAAACAAAACAAAAAAAAAAAAAAAAAAAAAAAAAAACAGGGCCTGGAGAGATGGTTCAGAGGTTTAAAGCACTGGTTGCTCTTCCAGAGGTCCTGAGTTCAATTCCCGGCAACCACATGGTGGCTCACAACCATCTATAGTGGGTGCTGATGCCCTCTTCTAACACACGCAGATAGAGCACTAATATATAAAAATAAATAAATGCAGGTACACCACAGTAAATATGTGTTCAGGGAGTGAATAATTGACTTGTTCAAATTGGATCCATTCTTGACTGCAACAACAGTGTTGCTTCATTTGATACTACCTTAATGAAATCCCTATCTTCAGAGAATGACTGTCATTCCTGACTGTGACACATGACAACTAAAAGCCAGTCATGGTGGTGCAGCACTAAGAAGGCTCAGGTTCTCTGGCATCCTCAACTGCACAATGAGACCTTGTCTCAAACAAACACAAAGAGACAACAAAAGAAATTTGAGCAAGTTAGAATGAGAATTTGGCAGAATCCTAAATGGCTAAATTGTAAAGGCAGGTTTTAAAAAGAAATCAATTCAAAGCGTTTTAGTACAGAGAAACCACAGAATATTTTAGGGCAATGATCTGCCATGAGTTGGCATAAACTACAAATAACCTTTTCTGTATGACCAAAATAGAGGAAATCAGCCTCAGGATCCTGAATAAGATTCCTAGTAAGAGGTCTTTAGTATCTCAAACTAGGATCCAACTTCAAGTGCTTATTATAACCAGAATTTCAAATAACCATGAGACATTGCAGGGTGGGGATGTATTTACTGCTGCTCACTGGTCAGCTTTAGGTCAAGGGCTGTATGTACTACATTAGCCCTTATGATTAGCACATGGGGATCAATGGAGGCTTTACCCTCATCCATGTTTATGCCTCCAGCATGGAGCCCACACCACACCACATGGACACCTGATAAAGAAATGGGTCTAGGTAAACCATACTCTCAAATCTCATATCCATAGAAGGATAGAAGTAAATTCAAATACATACTGCAGATTAACATTTCCAGAAGGGAGTCTGGAGGGATGGCTCAGCAGGAAAGAGCAGTTGCTGCTGTGCTAGGCACTGGTGCCACACACTTTCAATTCCAACCACTCAAGAGGTAGAGGCAGGAGGATCTCTGTGAGCTTGAGGCCAGCCAGGACTACAGAGTGAGTTCCAGGACAGCCAGGGCTACACAGAGAAAACCTGTGTGGGGGGGGGGAGGGGAGGCCAGAAACAAAACAAAAAAAGCAGTTGCTGCATTTCCAGAGCAGAGGGCCCAAGTTCAGTTCCCAGCAAGTTCCAAGTTAGTATCAGAACAAAAAACAAACAAAAAGCTGAAGAAAAACACTGGTGTAAATGACACTAAAGAGTTGGGACAATCAAATGCAATGTGTTTATTTAGCCCTGGCTGGCCTGGAACATGTTATATAGACCAGGCTGACTTTGAACTCACAGACATCTGAGTGCTAGGGTTAAAGCTGCCAGCCACCACACCCAGCAATGATCGGCCCCTGGTCAAAGCTTTTAATGGCTCTTTTCTCAGCTTACTAGGCCGTCTGCCTCTTTCTTTCTTAATAAACTGTCTCTTCCTCTCACCAAATGAAAACAAAAGCAACCAAAAACAAAACAAAACAAAACAAAAAAAACAGAGGGATGGCTCAGAGGTTAAGAGTGGGCACCTGCACTTATGTCCATATAACCAAACACACACATACACATATTTGAAATAATACTTTTTAAAGAAAAGAGAAAGCCTAGAAGACAAACAAAAAGAAGAAGAAAGCTATTTGGTTAACTGGGGAGATTTAAATAAACAAGGCCTGTTTAGCATCACTTTATCAGTGGTAAGTGTGAGAGAACACATCCCTGCTTCAGAAGTTTTGAGCTGAAGAATCATACAGTGTCATGACTTCTGCAGTGCAGGGAATTAAAATGTGATGTGTATACTCATGCACATAGGTGTGGCAGACAAAGAGCAAGACCCAAAATAAGCATGCTTTGCATAATGAAATTTCTATCAACACAGGCCAAACATTCAACTGTAGCCCCATAATCTAAAGTAGCTGGCCAACTACATGGGCAATGGTCTCATAATATCTAATGAGCCCCAGTTTCTAAGCAGTGTATGACTTTGACCACTGGACATAAGCATATGGGCATTGGTTACACGGTGTTCTAATTTCTCAGGTTTGGAACATTCCCAAATAGTTGAAGAGAAATAAGAAAATGAATAAAAAACAGACTGACTTAATCCCCGAAGAGTATGAATTCTTCATCTTTTGGAAAGGGTCTCCAGAAATGGGTTCACGTGTAATTTTATTTGTTTTTTTTTTTTTTTTTTTTTTTTAATCACTGTCAGGTGTGACACTAATACGTTTGGAAACAATCTGAGCTTCGCAACTCTCGTTTTAGGCAGGATCACAAGCTAACAGCTTCAGCTGCCACAAAAATAGATAACTACTTTGTCAGCTACTACACAGGCAGGTCCCAGGTGTCCACTGAGAGGCGCCTGGCAGTCGCTGCCCAGTGGATGAGAACCAGACGCCTGGCTTAACATGCAATTCCCGCCCATCTTCCTTTATGATGTCTCTGGCCCAGCTTCACGGTTTTACGAAGTCCAAGTTTCAACTTTGCTGGGGCGCCCTAATTCCCCCTGTCGCACCCCCGACCCCAGTCGCCTAGCCTTCAAAAATCCAAAACAAACAATCATGCCCTCCCCTGAAGGCATTATTGATCCCAGGGGAGGTAATTCTCCTCCCATCAACTTTCTCAACTCTGTCAGCTCGACCGTGTAAACGTAACTTGGAAAGCTCTCCTGACAGGAGGCGGCGAAGCTCGGGCGGGAAGTTAGAGCAATTCAGAAGTTGTGTCTAAGTTCTCCAAGGTGTGGGTGGGAGAACCCGCAACAGGTTTGAGCAAGTAATTCCTACATAGACAAGCTTAGGACAGCCAGAGGGCAGGGTCTCGGAGGGCGTCAAGGGGCAGTCCCTAGAACAGCACAGGCGTCGCTCCTAGGCACCCAGGTCCGCGGCTGCCTGGGCCTCGCCCTGGCCGGGGCCGGACAGGTGCGTAGTGCGCAGGCGCGGGGCGGGGCGGGGCGTACCTGGGAAGGAGCAGAGCGAAGTGGAGTTGGGGCACAGGGTCCCATTGCCCACCCGCGGCACGAGCTTCAGGCTGAGGATCTGCTGCATGAGCCCGGCCGACCCGCCGCCGCCGCTCCCCTCGGGCTGCATCCCGCCGCCATCCACCGCCCGGAGTGCCTCGGAGGCCCGCACCTCCGCCACCGCGGCGTCACCTTTGGCCCGCCCTCTTCTCCCGCCCACCCCAACGGCGCTACTAAGTAATCGTTTCCCCTTCCAATCACAGGGCGCCGCAGATGGAGGGGGCGGGGCGACGGTTGTTCCCGCCTCCTGGAGCTCCGTTCGACTGGGGACGACCGCGCCCCCTAGTGTCAAGTCTCTCCTGTTCCGTCTAGGAGCGTTGGGTTTTGCCCTTCCTTTTAGTGCCATCTCTAATTAGGACAAGTCCATTGAGATTGCTCAGCCGGTAGATGCTCTTAACCTCTAAGCATGAGGGGTCTGAGTTCCATCCCTAGGACCCACATGACGGAAGGTGAGAACCAGCTTCCATGAGTTGTCCTTTGAACTTCACACGTGTACTGAGCACATGCACATACACTTACATAAATACATAAATAAATAAATGTTATAAAAGTACAGCACCAAAAATAAATACATAGATTAAAAAATAAGTTAAATGAACAATAGTGCACTCAAATTTCTGTGTAGGGCTGGGTATGTATTGACAGAGAACCAGCCTAGCTCCACAATAATAATACCCTGGATTCCAACCCTAGATACTTAGCATGTAAAAGGCTGTAGGTTCAATTTCCAAACAACCAATAAAGAAAAACAAGACGTTAGCTGGGTGGTGGCCATGCTCACCTTTAATCCCAGCACTCTGGAGGCAGAGGCAGTCAGATCTCTGTGAGTAAGAGGCCAGCCTGGTTTACAGAGCAAGTTCCAGGACAGCCAGGGCTACGAAAGAAATCCTGTCTCTACACCAGCACCACTACCACCACCAAAACAAAAGAAATGTGTTTTGGATGTTGAGTGTGTAATGGCTGGTTTTGTGTGTTAACTTGACACAAGCTGGAGTCATCAGAAAGAAAGGAGTTGAAGAAATGTCTCCCTGAGATCCAACTGTAAAGCATTTTCTCATTTAGTGATCAATGGGGGAAGGCCCAGCCCATTGGTGAGTGGTACCATCATGGGCTTGTGATCCTGTGTTCTATAAGAAAGCAGGCTGATCAAGCCCTGGGAAGAAAGTCAGTAAGCGCCTCTCCTTGGCCTCTGTATCAGCTCCTGCCTCCAGGTTCCAACCCTGTCTGAGTTCCTGTCCTGACTTCCTCCAGTGACAGACTACGATTTTTCCTCCCCAACTTGCTTTTATAGTGTTTCATTGCAGCAATAGAAACCCTAACTAAAACAGTGTGTGTCTTTTCCCACTCATCTATCTAGTTCTCCTCTCTCTCTTTCTCTCTGCCCCCCCTTCCTCTTTGGGTTTTTGAGAAAGGGTTTCTCTATAGCTATGGAGCCTGTCCTGAAAAAACAAAGAAAAGGAGTGCTCACTTCCACAGCACATATATTTAAAAAAATTGAAATGATACAGATATCATGGCCCCTTCATGAGGGTGACATGCAAATTCATAGTGTTCCAGTTATTTTATTTATTTATTTATTTATTTATTTATTTTTGAGACAGGGTCTCTCTATATAGCCCTGAATGTCCTGGAACTCTCTTTGTAGACCAGGCTGGCCTCAAATTCATAGAGATTTGTCTGCCTCTGTCTCCCAAATGCTGGGATTAAAGGCATGCGCCACTACCACTGGGCCATATTTTTATAAGCATCGAAAATAGTTTAAAGGAAAACAAACTGTGATTTGAAAGCATAAGAGTGCCAGGTATAGTCACACATACCTGTTATTCCAGATCTTGGAAGAGACAGGAAGAATACTGTAAGTGCACAGCCAGCCTGGGCTACATAGTCTCTGTATCAAGGGGAGAGGGGATGCAAGGGCCTGGAGAGATCTGTCAGGAAGCTCACAATAGCCTGTAACTCCAATGTTCTCTCTTGAACTCTGAGGGGACCTGTACACCCCCACACACACCTCCCCCCCCCCGTGTGTGTGTGTGTGTGTGTGTGTGTGTGTGTGTGTGTGAGAGAGAGAGAGAGAGAGAGAGAGAGAGAGAGAGAGAGAGAGAGAGAGAGAGAGACATATTTACCAAATGGGGCATCAACTATGAATCGAGTTAAGAAACAAGAGTTTAGTGTAGAAAAAAGACAGATAGATAAAAATTACTTTTAAAATTACACTGGCTGGGCAGTGGTGATGTACGCCTTTAATCCCAGCACTTGGAGGCAGAAGCAGAGGCAGGTGGATCTCTGTGAGTTTGAGGCCAGCCTGATCTACAAAGCTACACAGAGAAACCCTGTCTCAAAACAAAACAAAGTTACACTGTGAAAAATACTTGGCTCCCAGCTAAGTATGATGGTCCTTGCCTTTAATCCCAGCACTCAGAAGGCAGTGATCTCTGTGAGTTCGAGGCCAGCCAGAGCTACAAACAAAACAAAAGTCTATGTGGTTCCTCATGACATAATAGAATTGTCTCTGTTTGGTAGGTAGGTTGGGAAAGTGAAATTCCTTTAAGTCAGAAAGTGTCATGTGCAGAATACAAGCATTTCTCTTCCAAGGATATTAATACAGTGGCTGGTTAACATCCTGGGTCCTCCTGAAGCTGAATTTTAGAATGCTTCTAATGCCTGTTCCATAACAATGCTGATGTCAACCAAGACTCTTACCCAAAACAAAAATAATAAATGTGTTAATGTGTTAAAAGTCATGAACTAATTACTAGAATTTTTTTTTCAGTACATCATCAAGGTTGCCAGAGTCCAGGTCAAGTGGAAGAACCCATTATTTTGGGGTTATATGACAGTCAGCTGTATACCAAAGCAGGAAAAACTGTTTTGAATTTAGAATCCTATCACCAAACTATGACTGGAAGCTTATTTTTTTTAAGGTTAACTTTTCTAAAGTGTTGTATAAACTAGAGCAAAGGTGAAGAGTAGTGAGCAAGGAGGAGAGGGGTATAATGCAAGAAATGGGGGAATTATCCAAAATGTCACTACATCCTCCGTGTAAAAGTCCCAGCAGAAAGAAGTGTCCTCTGAAGAATAATGAAATCACTTTCAATCCATCAATGACATGGTTACTAAAATTTTAATGACTGGGAGAATAAAGAAGAGAAAGAGAAAGAACAGGAAATTTTGGGAGCTGATTGTTGGTGCTCTCTCCTGTAATTGCATAGAACTTAGGAGTCTGAGACAGGAAGGCCAACCAAGAGTTCTAGGCCAGCCTGGGCTCCACAGTGAGTTCCAGGCTAGCCTGGTCTACAGTGTGAGCCACTGTTTCAAAAAATAAAGCGATGTGCCAGTGAGATGGTTCAGTGAGATGGATAAAGACACTTGCCACGTAAGCCTGGCCAACTGTGTTTGATCTCCAGAACCCATGCAGAGGTGAAAGAAGGGAACAGCCTCCACAAGGTTGTTCTATAGCCACACATGTGCCAATGTACACACACACACACACACACACACACACGGTAATGATAGTTTGTTTTCTGTTTTTGAGGTTGGGTTTCTCTATATAGCCATGCTGTCCTGGAATTCATTCTGTAGACCAGGCTGGTCTCAAACCCAAAGATCTGCCTGCCTCTGCCTCCTGAGTGCTGGGATCAAAGATGTGCACCACCACCACCACCTGGATAATAATAGTTGTATTTAACGTGTATGAATGCTTTGCCTGTTTGTATGTCTGTGCAGCACATGTGTGCCTGATGCCCTGGAAGCCAGAAGAGGATGTCAGGTTCCTTGGAACTGAAGTTACAGACATCTGTGAGCCAACATGTGGATGCTGGGTATTAAATCCTGTTCCTCTGGAACAAGAGCCTGCTCTAAACACTGTTACCTCTCTATCCCATAAAGTTGAGAGAGAGAGAGAGAGAGAGAGAGAGAGAGAGAGAGAGAGAGAGAAGCTGGGCATGGTGACACATAATTTTAATCCCAGAACTTGGGAGGCAGTGGCAGATGAATCCCTGAGTTTGAGGCCAGCCTGATCTACATAGTGAGTTCCAGGACAGCCAGGGCTACACAGAGAAACCCGACTCCAAGAAAGAAAGAAAGAGAGAGAGAGGGAGGGAGGGAAGGAGGAGGAAGGAAGGAAGGAAGAAGTCACTGGAAGAAAGTCGTACTTAAAGCTAAATAAAATAACTTAAAGGGAAAGGACAGTTCATCTCATTCAGACATACAGATCACAAAGAGCCAATTGTACATACACTCTTAAGCTATGCTGAAGAAACAGAGACAGGAGGATCACCAGTTTGATGCCAGCCTGTGCTATGCATTTTGTGGGGCTTGGTGGCACATGCCTTTAATCCCAGTATTTGTGGGTTCAAGGAAGGTAGATCTTTATGAGTTCAAAGCCAACTTGATCTACATAATGGGTTCCAGGATGTGTTAGTGATTTACAGTGAGATCCTATGTTAATTTTTTTTTCCTCAAGAAATTATCCTGTCAATCCACTTCAGTGGAGTAAATGTGCTGGCTAGGACGGTCCCAATTCAAGCTAAGTGTAGGAAACAGATCTGTCAGTAGAGGGCAGTGTGACAAAGGCCTTTCTGAGAGGGCTTCACTCCTAGCCAAGATGACTGCTGCTGATGCAAATCACTAAATTAAAAACTACTAGAGGGGCTGTAGATTTGGATTAGGGCTGGAGAGATGGCTCAGGGGTCAAGAGCACTGACTACTCTTCCAGAGGAGCCAGGTTCAATTCCCAGCACCCATGTGGGAGCTTGCTGTTGTCTATAACTCTAGTTCCAGAGGACCTACTACCCTCACACAGACATACATGCAGGCAAAACACCAATGCACATTTTTTTTTTTTTTAAAAAGCCCTGGAAGTAAGCATGAAGGCAGGTTATAATCTTGAATAGAATAAGGATTTCAGAGAGAAACACAAAATTCAGAAGCCATAAGGAATTGGCTTGGAACTTCGCAACTAGGTGACAGTTAATGAAATCTTAACGTGGAGATGTAGTGATATGACTTCACATATGCAAATGCATTACCCAGTCACATTTTATACTTAAAGTGTGCGGCTGGTGTATACAGGTTGCACCACAATATCACAACAGAGCTGTGAGAATTGCTCCTTTGGGTTTTGGTTATTTGGGGTTTTTTATTCCCACTTTTTAAAA